TCTTTTTTTTTTTTTTGGTCTTTTTGAAACTGGGCTTCCCTGTAGCCCCACCTGGCCTCTGCCTCCCAAGTGCTGGGACCACAGGCATGCACCACCATGCCTGGCTCTATATATTATTTTTTTAAATATTTTATTTTTATATGTATGCGTGTATTGTCTGCATGTAGGTAAGGGCACCTGTGTCATGCAATGCCCGAGGAGGACAGAAGAGGCTGTTGGACCCCCTGGAACTGGAGTTATGGAGAGTTGTTAGCTGCCATGTGGGTGCTGGGATTTGAACCCCGGTCTTCTGCAAGAACAGCCAGTGTTCTTGACTGCTGAGCCATCTCTCCAGCCCCTGTAAGTCGAATATAATTTTTCCAAGTTGCAAGAGAAACCGTATCTTGAGGGAAACCTCCCAGAGGTAATGCTGTCATATTTGTCCTCCAAGGATACTGATGGCTAATCTTGTCAGCTTGATCTGGGGTCAGCTAAGACATATACCTCTGGCCAGGCTTGTGTGGGTAGTTCCTGGACAGGTAATTGAAAGGTGTGTGTGGGGGGGACCCTGCCCTAGAGAACAGCACCTTCTAGTGGTGGCCTAGATAGAGGCCTGTGGGAAAAGCTGCTGCTTTGGCCTGAGGGCCTTACCCTTGCTGGTGAGTGCATCTAAGCCCAGCTGTTCCATCCCCTGCTGACATCAGAACCCAGCTCCTTCAGCCTTCCACAAGGGAGTGCAGAAGTGCAGCTCTCCAGGAGCCCTCCCAGCCTTCACCAGATTGGGTCTCAAGCATCTGGCCCCATAAAATGAGCAGCTACTGGGTTCTCAGCCCTCCCAGCAGGCAGACCGGCTTTGGCATACCACCCAGACCACATCTAACAAACCAGTGTAGTAAGTCCCTTTGGTTCCGTCCTGTTGGGGAAACCTAACGCATGTGCACACACCTTCTGTAAACAAGTGTACAAAGCTGGAGGCTGAGCGGTCCTGAAGGCTCTTAACTGGGAGAAAATAAAAGGCTGTCTAGACTTGATTATTTTACTACCATTTGTTTCCAGTGCAACTCAGGGGGGTCATTTGGAAATGGAGCTAGAAATTTACAGGCCATGTTGGGTTATAAATCCTTTATGCACAGTTTTCATATAGTTTTCTAGATATCTGGACTCAGCCAAAAGTTTAAGGCCCCAGGGGACATTCAGAAAATGTCTGCTGAATAACCAAACACTTAGCAGACCACGGAACCTGATTTTTAAAAACCAGCATATTGCCTAAGGCAAGTAATAATAATTCTCACAGACACACACACGTTTTCAAATTTGCTTTTGATAACTTGAAGTCTTTGTATGATTACATTTAAGTAATTTGGAAATAAAAACTTCAAGACCATTTAATAGATAAGAAAACTGCAATATAAGGTTAATTTTAACTTTTTAAAGGTAAATTATTTTACTGTGCTAAATTAAGTTTTCAAATCTCAAAGTAAAGATAAACTTGGTCACCAATTAATAGAAAAGTACCCTTTTATTGAGAGGTATGACAAGTGTAAGTACAGTGTTCAGTTGTTAAGAGCACGCAGTTGTATTCCAGAGTGCAGTTTATTAGGGCAAAAGAGAAACACTCCAAGTCAGCTTCTGTTACAGAAAGGACGTTTGAACAATGACAGAAACACTAAGGCTAAGAACTATTAGACCTTTTCCTCCATCTGTGTAGGAATAACCAAAGTACATTTTTCTTTGTCACAAAGACAAGGCTGATTTTGGAAGGGGGTGAGGGAACCCTTTAGGACAGGGCTCCCAGAAGCCAGATGGCTGGCATGTATAAAACAGCGCCTGGTCAAGGTTCCAATTAAGGAGTATACAGTGCTGCCAAGCAGTTCAAACTGCACTGCACTCATCTGAAACTGAAAACAACCCCAGCCCCTTCATCCCTCTAAGGACTACGAGGTTATCACATCTTCTCAGGTCCAATAATGTTTTCTGAAAAGAAGATTGTTGAAAAGCGATGTCTGTAACAGTGTGAAGAAGATTTTGCTAAAATTCATGTCTACAAAGGAGTTAAATGATACCAATGCTCTTGCTCTAAAGCGGAGAAACATCTACCACGGTAACTCATAGGGGTTGGCCAAACATAGGCACGAGTCCTATAGGGCACCTCACACACGCCAGTTCTCAAAGTGTATGTATTTGACATTCCAAGGGAGGGCAGGGTTTTTTGAAGAACATCAGACACGAGGCCAGGTCTCTTACTATCCTGTGAACTACTGAGGTAGGTGCCTCCATCTACTTCGTCTTCATAGATAACATCTTGTCAGATGCCAAGTACCGAACAGGATGGTAATCCACAAGCCATCTGAACCACCGCACTACGTATCGATTCGAATTCTCCCTGCATCAAGAAATTTAACTAAAGTAACAAACACTGTAATATGTTTTACAGAAATGTTTTGCAAATAAATACAAATTTCAATGATGATTTTATGCAGTAAAAAGCTTTGAGACTGGTAACAATCAACAGTGCACTCACTAGTGGTAAAAGACAGAACTGCAGCCAATGAAAAGGCGCTCCTGCGTCCAACATGAAAGCTGCCGTCTGGGCCAAGGGAGGAAACCACCATTGCTTCCACTGTCTCAAAATTGCCAACGGAGGAAAAACAGACACCAGTTCTTCCCCAGTTCCATGTCTCTAAGAACCCAGGGCTAGTTTAGTTATAATAAAAATAATTCTGCGTGTGAAAGTAATTCCTCCACTAACCCAAGTGGAACAATCCCAGGAAGTAGGTGTCATGCATACTGAATTTCATGTTACAATAAAGCTGGAAATAAGGGGAAACTCCAGATTAAAATAAACAGCCCTTAAAACAGTCACAAAATCAACCTTTAACATGTTACATGCCTTAAATAAACGTTACCAAAAGTTACCTCGTGAAAAACAAAGTAGGAAACCTCTGCCAAAGTTCATAAAGATACAAAATAAAGACTATGTCATGGCATGGCCAATTCATTTGGTTTGCATCATTTAGGATCTCAACCAACTATACCAGCCACCTCTGTAGCAGACTTCACGGTCAGGAACACCTCTCGCTCCTAGTTTGTGATGGACTGGGCGCAGAGCCCCAGGCCACACTCCCAGGAGGTCTGAGTACTGCCAGTGTGGCAGACTGAGGAAGCACCTGTCAGCTATGATTCTAGTTCAGATTTTCATCTGGCTTCAAAACACTAATATTCAAAAGAACCACAAAAGTTGTTATATCCCTATGTTTACCCGCCCCCCCCCCCCCCCAAAAGCGATTCACACATGAATACTGGACTTTCCTTGAGCTAATAAATGGAGACGACATAACCCAATCCAATTCAGGCGTCATTTTTAGAGACCAGAACAAATGGACACGTCCTGGCCGTCACAGTGGACATTTTTAAATGCAGACGCCTATGGGTGTTCCTGAATCTTCTAAAAAACAACAGAAGATGACAGACCACGGTTCTCGAAGGGTGGCTGTGCTTCGCACAGTATGGAAAGACACTGAAAACAGTGCTCAGTGCTTCACTGACATCCTGACAAGCTTCCTCCCTTCGGGTGCGTGTGGATTCTCACATCGCCTGATCCCGTCTGCGGTCGTTGCTTCTTTGATAACTGTTGGTACTTTGGAGGCTATGCATTTTAAACTTCAGGAAAGAACTTTACAAGCTATTTTGTGTAATTTAACTTTGTGCTGAATATTCTTCAAAGGATTTTATAAATAATACAATATTTTAAAGGAGTCTTCAGATTCATCTGCTGTTATACCATGTTGTTGCTTTCTCCAACCTTATCTACAAACTGTAAGGAGAAGAAAAACATAATTAAAGAAAGCCTACAAACATTGAATAGCACCGTACCAACCTTTTCAATGCTGGGTTGAAGCTACCTAGCTTTACAGGAGGAGCGGTGGGAACATAGGCATGACTGACGGTGACTGACCCACAGCACTCACCACCATCTTCGCACACACATGGATTTAAAACTGACTTTTCTAAAAGTCCTTTCCGCATGACATGTTATACACATGAATTTAAGGGTGCAATATGGAAGTGCAACACAATGAATACAAAATGCAGAAAATGAAGTTAAGACCGCTAGCTTAACAAAAATAAAATGAAATGTTGAAATGTCGGCCATTCATGCATTAATGAACCCAATAAGATATTTCCACTGACCATTACTGTGGATCTCTTCTGGGCCTATGTGGTCTTTGAACAAACAGATTTAACTCCATTAAGTTCAATAGTTAACAACAGCTATTGACTACAAGCACTTTAAACGTGTATTCTGGACTTGAGCGTGGCAACACTAGGAACAGTGTTGTGAACGTGAATTCGTAACTGCTGACCTGGCTCTCCACACACACCACTGTAATGCTTGTTTACTCTGCTCACACCACTCAAATCAAAAGCAGTTTGTCCTTCTTCAGCATCCCAGACGGTGAGGGACTGAAGCAGGGCGTCCACCACCAGTGCTGATGCTGGCAGCACAGTGCGGCCTGATGCTCGCCACTGCCCACATCCTCTCATCTCACTCGTCACACCTCTCAGTAAGCAGTTATCACACTGAAGCAGCAACGTCAGGAAACCCGAGCTACTGTCTGGGTGTCCACTCATGAAGATACTGCTCAGTTCTTACAGTGAGGATACAGCTCATTGTTACAACAAAGCTTAGTGCACTTAAGAGCCATTCTAAATATAAACTATATCACTACTACATGAGTCTGGACATAAGTACAATTGAAATTGGGCTCTGCCCTCTAAGCCTCCACATCCCCACCTTGTAAATCACCATGAACAGGTGACTCGTGCAGTAAAACTGAAAGGTGCTTTGAAAAGTATTCAAGGACTCACTAGAATATTCATGTAAAATTCTGTGGTTAAGAAGGGTATGATAGTCTTTCTCCAAAGACAACTGCAAATTATCTAGGCAGTGTTTGGTGGGCTGTCCTGCCTCTAAAATTAACCCGGGAATGGAACAGGATTAGCTTAGAGTGTACTGTTTTTCTTTCAGCTCTGAGAATTCAGTCAGTGCTATGGACCGTCTAAGAACAAACATGGAACTAAGAAAAAGATGAAAAGAATATCATGCATGATATTCTGACTTGGGAGGAGGAAGGCTAAAAGAGGCTCTCAGAGATGTCTGGAGACTGGGTTCTCTGGCATAATGAGGTGCCATCCTTCATTCATGTAGGAAGACTGTCTGGAGTCTCTAAGACCCAGGTGTGACGCTGGGTACTAGGGAGGGAGAATGGCTAAAAGCCAACCTGTGGCTGCCCTCAAGGACTGCTGTCTCATGTCTAGAAGCCTCTTTCTTGATAATTAAAATAGGCAAATTCTATGATACAGTGTGCATAAGGATGGTAGAGGCCATCCCGAGCCAGCCAGAGGGAGTCAGAAAAGCTTTTTTGGAGGGAGGTGACAAAGCACGTGAATCCTGAGAGGCCTTCAAGACTCTACCAAGAGGCAGCATGGCCTCCAGGCCAGCAGCACGGTGTCAGCAGCAGAGAGCACCCTGAACGAGAGCAACAGCGTCACTTGCTGGCTTGTAAATGGATGCCGCTAACCTCCATCAGATCTGTGCCTTCATTTTACCAAGATGGGCTCCAAGGCCCATCCTGGAGACACAGATCGAATGAGATTGTTCTAACTCCAGACAGGGCTGAGAATGGGTCTTCACACCCACCTCTCAGTGCAGTGCTGCCTGCCACTGTCTAACCCAATCTACTCTGCTTGGTGACACTGCAGAAGAAAACATCTGCAAGTAATAACATTCTTTTTATATTACCACTGCTAAAATCAAGTTTACAGGAAAGCTAACTGAAAGGTATCTTGATATTTTTATGAGAGAAAAGTAGCTCAGCATTATCAGTCAGAGCGACAGGGAAAACCAGCAACAATACTGGGAATAGATACATTCAAACACAGCTCCAGGTTTCACAGGTGCGATGGTTAGCCTGGCTTCATGGCCACCATGACCCATGTGATGTACTGTTTATATTGCAATGACTCATTAATCAATCACATCAATGATTCAAATTCCATAAGTAAAAAGCATTAAAATCTATTCATCTTGGTGGTTTAAAAAACATATTGCTAACTGCATGAATACTTACGGATCTGATTCCAGGTAGATTTAAAAGCGACCCGAGGACAGGCACTCTTCTAATGAAGCCAACAACCACTGGAAAGAAGCCCCTGGGAGGTGAGAGAAGGGCATTAAAACTTCAGTGTTTTCTGCTGCTGAGAGAAACTGCCAGCCAAGAACAATGAAAGGCCCAGAGTCAGCTACAGCAGGTGGATTCACAGTGTTTTATTACTGGCAGAAGTATGCTCTGGGTGTAAGGAGGCCAGCTGTGCCTGGCGATCTGATGAGTTATCTCTATCCACTGCTAAAGATTTCCTCAGCTGTGGGGCACTGGGGTGGGCTAATCCAAACAGATGAGCTGCTGACATCAAGTGTCTAGAACCATGAAAATCACAGCTGTCATTCTCAGATCACACTGAGCAACTAACACGAACAGAACACGTGCCAGGCAGGAATCCTCACGGAGTGTCACTTTTTCTGGCATAAACAGAAACCCACAGAAGTGATAAAGCCTCTAATTGGTTTAGCTGTGGATTAGTTAGGCCACTTCTCTAGTAGGAAGAGAGGGAAAGAGCTTAAGAATGCATGAGAAATATATATATTTTTTTTCTGGTCCCTAAAATGAGGCACACAGAGATGAAAGTGCTCCAGGGGAGAGAATTCAGGACCAGAGCAGTAAGAGGCAATTATGATCTGTTGGAGCAAACTAAGTTTAAGAGCTAAGCAGAAGCATTTTAAATGTGAGAAATAGCTCTTATGCTGATGATGTATGTAAGTCTCAAATATATTCAGGATTGCTTTACTAAGGGCGCTTTAAAGGTATTTTTTAAATATAAAAATATGACTTGAAATGCTACTACTGAGGGTTATATTTGGAAAAAGACTACCAAAGACCCTTGGCACTATACCTCAAACCAAGAATTCCTCAGAATATAACAACACAATAGCAATAACTATTTACCAGATGTCTCTTTAAATCATGAAGCCAAAGTATTATTCCAGTTTTACCAATAAAACAGGATATTGCCTTCCTTACAAGGATCGGCATTGGCTTTTAACCTACATGAACAGAATCCCTTCACAATGAGGCCACCGCCCTCCCTCGGGCCTTCACGTGCTCAAGTTTGCTATAGGACACAACTGCCCTCCCTACCCCAGCTTCCTTAGCCCTGAGATCCTCACTCCCAGCTCTTCTGACCCCTTTCCTCTTTCTTCAGTGTTTCCTTCTCTTCCTTCATCTCTCCAATGTCAAGTTCCCAAGATTCCAATCTCATGACCTTATACTCCGACTGTCAGCCGGTTCTTAACTGGTTTCTCTGCCATCATTCTTTTCGATATGAAGTTTTTTTGAAAACAGATTTTATTACATTTCTGGGTGCATGTGTATGCTTGAGTACCAGAACATGTGTGTGGAGGGCAGAGGACAACTGGCAGGAGTCAGTTTTCTCCTTCCATCACATGGGTCCTAGGGACCGAACTCAGGTACCCAGGCTTAGTGGCATGACCTGTCATGGATCCTTGCTAGGCATTTACCTGACACTAAGATGCTATCTGGATGAACTGTTTTTAGCTTACAAACCTGTGCCTGCCCTCTGCCCCAGACACTGCTCCTCAGCCTAAACCTGATGAGAGAATCAGCAGCCCACTGAAGGGGTCTGTGGCTGGCCACCCCCTCTCCTATGGCTGTGCCATGCCTTCCACAGAGCCCAGGTCCCTATTCTGAGATGCTCCATGGTCCAGAACAAGCTACAGGTTTTCATGTCTGCCCTTTCTGTCAATCACCTAGTCTTCTCACTGCCTTAGAGGATGCAGTCTACCCTCCTTCAGGGGCCGACTTAGCACTTCTTGCCTGTCTTGGCTGAGTTCCTTCCTTCCTTATGCTCCTAAAATGTTGTGTGTGTCTCTCTATAACAACACTAGCATGTTCCTGGGACCTAACAATCCATTTTCTATATTAGCACTGACAAATCCTCTAAAGCAGGCTTGGCATTTAATTCATTTTTATGTCTTTCATGAGTGATACAGTGCTCAGCAGGTTGAAGAAAAAGGATTTTAAATTTCTCTAATAAAACAAATGTTACTTAAAAGTATTTTCTCACAAGTATACTACTGTGTACTGGCTAAGTAGCATTTGCAAAGCATTAACTGATCAAAATTTTCCAGTGCATTTGTAACTAATTTCTTAACATGTACATGCACTAAATTGCCACTAAGAGGCAGCAACTATTAAGTATTAAATGCTAGATCCATCCATCCATCCACTCACCCATCCATCCACACACCCACCCATCCTCGCATGCATCCGTCTAATGAAAATACCAAACACGGTACCTTAAAAATGGTAATAATGAATTTTGTAGCATCGAAAATCTTTTACAAAATAGTTTGTGCCCTTACTTAGGCTGTCATTTACACTGAGTAGATATTTTTATAGTTGATTTCAATCTAAGCAACAGTCCATTAAAGGAAGCCACCACCTCCCACTACTGTAACTACACGGGTTTCTCATTATCATCTCATACTGCTTTACTACAAGAAAATAAAATGATTGCCTCACCTGAATAAGAGAAAGAATCCATAAATTTCGAAGATCATGCCTATCAAAGGCCAACCAATAAGGACCACAAACACGCCACCCAGGAAAAACCCCGTGGCTTTCATTTTGTGTTTTTGGAAGAAGAATCTGAATGTTCTTTCTAAGCCAATTACAAAAGCCAAGCCAGCCACAAACAAAACCTAGGAGAGAGAAAACCCGACACAGAAAAAGGAGTTAAAACACACCACATACATTTGAAGAGCAGGGTAAAAACCAAACATAGTAAGGCTGTGCATTTGTTTGGCTTTTAATGTGGGCAGCTGTCCAGAGTAATCTGCAATGCACACTCCAAGAAGTAGAACCAGAGAGTGGGGTGTGCCTGTTAAAGTGATGCCCGTCCTCCAATGGCTTCCTTCCTCTTCTATCTTGGTAAATGGAGAGAGGAAGAGATGTCACACAGGGTCTGTGTTTGCAGCACTCTCCACAGCTTGGCTGGAGAAACGGAAATGGCTTGGTTATGCTGATGAACAAGCTGGCAAGGCCTAGACAGCTATGTGTGCTGAAACGGTGCCACCCAAAGGGATTCCTTAATCCTGCACCAGCCACATGGGCCATGGGGTTGCTATAGATGGGAGAGCTGTGTGATGGCCAAGCTGACAGGAGAACATCAGTGCAAAGCCAGGAAGATGAGTCCAGGTCCAACGCCAGATTATCTGGTGGCAGCAGAGGTAATAACACACACAGGGATTAAGACCTGATCCACCATGAGTTTTACCTGCATTTCATCTGGCAATACTTTCCCATTAGCTCTATTTGGTGAAAAGTATTTTATACAAACATGTTAGTCAAGCCTATCTGCTCAACGCTGTATCTGACAGTAATGTTGTTTGTAGCATAACTGATCAAAACATCAACTCTGCTATTCTTTATCTTTTCCTTTTCCAATAAAAACCTGGTAGGACAGAGTAGAAGAGCATCTCAATACAGTCAGTGATTTTAGTCCTGCCACAGAAGGGTGATGACTGACTTCCAGAACTCTTGTTCAACCCCCACAAAAGACAGGGTAGTATACATTCTAAGCAAACAGCATATGTCCTGTGTGCCTGGAAGTCAGAGGACGCTGTGCAGGAATCAGTCCTCTCCTTGGACCACGTGCGTTCCAGGGACTGAACTCAGGTTTTCAGCCTTGGCACCAAATACCTTTACCTGCAGAGCCACCTCAGTGGCACTGGATATAGTTTTTAAAGGCTTAAAAGGTCATTAAAAATCTATTTTATGTAGTTCAATCACATGTACAGTCACGGTCAAAACATTTTTATAAATTTACCAAGACAAGGGGCTAGTAAGTATTTTTTTTTTTTTTTTTTAGGTATCATCTCACCCTATAGCCTAGGCTAGCTTTAAACTTGTGGCAATTCTCCTGTCTCAGCCTTCCAAGTGTTGGGATTACCACATGAGCCACCATGCCTGGCAAAGTCAACTATTTCTGAACTCTTATTCAGAGGGAACATTCATTTAATCAACTGTAAATCTCACAATACTTGTCAGACTAGTTATGGAACTAGAGAACCTCATCAGATTTATCTTTTATTTAAACAGAAAGCTGATGGGATTCCCTGCAGACAGAACTGTGGTTTCTAAATTTGACAAGTAACAATTCACTAGTAGATAACATTTCCTTATGAATTAAGAAAACACACACACACACACACACACACACAGACAGAGATATGGAGAAACTTACATTTCCAATAGCCAGTAGCGCTTTGTCAAAAAAGAGGATCATTCCGAAGAACAGGAAAAACACTCCAAATCCTGTTAATCCCATTCCGATTTCTACAACATAAGTTACATAGTTAAGGTCAGGGAACTCAAGTCACGTTACCATCTCTACAGATAGAGTACAAAGTTCTTCAGGCTTTCTTTGGGCAGCCCAAGGAAACAGATATGGCACTGTAGGTCAGTTTCCAAATGTTGAGATTCCCAACAAATAAAAGGAAAACCAGCTAATCACCTCAGTAGAATGTAAACTATGAATGGAAAAACCTTGCTTCTTAACAGGAGACTTTCTCATATGAGCACTCACAAAAGGCAGAGAAATCTGGACTCTAAACCTTCAGGTGTCTACAACTTTCTCTCTGGAGAACCTTTCTCTGGAGTTAACTCCCACTGTGAAGTCCCTGGAGATACTATGGGACCAGCACTGCTCCCTGCTCAAGACGGTGCCATGACCTGTTTGAGAATGACAATAACTGCTGTTTCAAAAGTTAATTTTCAGAATTTTTAGCTCCCCCTCCCTGTCTCTTTTTGAGTGAAGGTCTGTGTTGTCCAGGCTGGGCCTGAAGTGCTGGGAGGATGTGATCCTCCACCCTCAACCCCTAGATGGCTGGACTACAAGCACATGCTGCCACGCCTGCCTACCTTTACCTTCCTGGCGGTCATGTTCCATTACTTCCACTAACACCGTGGCCCGCTAACACCTACAAACTCTGCACTGTGGCCCTGTGTGCATGTGTAAGATCTAAAGACATCGCCCCAAAGTTCCACAGGACACTGGCTGACCCAGCCCAGTCCAGGTTCTTGCTTCTTTTAGAGATAAAGAACTGTCAATCAACTACTAGAGACCCAGAGATATTCTAGGTACTGAATACAGAGTGGCACATGCAGTGCCTACTCCGCATATTAAATTGCTTTATTGACATTAAATCCCCCACGTCTTATACTCTGAGTTGTGTTAACTTTCTAAGGTGACAGACCCACTCCTGTTAATGTCACAAAGCAAAATTCCCCCAGTCATCTCTGGGTCATCCGGCTCTAGTCTGCAGACTGCCCATTAAGCCATTTCTGATCTGTTTTTTTACTTGGTACTTTTGCTATAGCTTCAGACAGCTAAAAGCCAGGCCAGCTACTCAGGAAAAAAAAACAGAAAATTCTTTCTGAGCCACAGAAAGTGTTCTGATGACTTGAGACCATCAAGTCCATGTTCCCCGCCATGTCTTTGCTCTCGGTACACTCTGGCTACCTTCTGCTTCCAAAGTTAGTCTAAAAAAATTTATGCATCTGTCCATAATCCTATCAGTGTAAGTGTATGCCAGACACAAGCACCAATGAAAACCTGGGGCTAATATTTTCATGCTTAAAAGTCTTAAGAAAATTTACCAAAAGTTACTAAAATGTCAGGCATAATTTCCTAGAGGAAACTATGGGTGAAGAGCAAGTAAAATTCCATTAAGTACTGACTAGGTATGATTTAACCGTGACAGCTGAGTTAATTTGAATAGGACCAATTTCAATCTGTTCACGAATTATTTTAGTGATCACACAAAAAATCCAACGTGTTTGCTCATTAAAAAGGAAATTAAATTGGTAAAGTATTTCCCATGAGGACCAAGTTAACATTCCCAACACCCACATAAATAACTCGGCATAGTGGCTCAAGTCTGAAGTCCTGGGCTGGGGAAGCAGAGACAGGGGGAGCCCTGGGACTTGCTGGCCAGCCAGTCTAGCCAACTGATGAGCTCCAGGTTCAGTGAGAGATGCTATCTAAAGGGGGGGGGGGAAAAAAAAAAGGCAGAGTGACTGAAGAAGACAACTGACATGGACACCCACAGAGCTGTACACACACAAATTAAGTGTTCCCTAAGTTAAAAAGAGAACCCATGGAGATGTTATTACTATGCTCTGTGAATTTACCACAAATTGGGCATTAGGTGTTTACACAGCTTATATAACAGAATATTCCCAATATTACTGAAATGTGGCAGAATGACATCATGTTAGAGATGGAAGAAACTGAAATTCAGAGAGTGGGATTTAAGCTACCAAAGGTCAGATGACCCACTCAGCATCTGAACCTAAAGTCCATGTGCTTAAATGAACCATTACAAAGTATTTCTACCCACAGGTTAAAAAGTTTGGTTAACTGAAACTCAGGGGCACTGGAGCTGAACTTCTGTGGGAAACACATTTCAGTTTAATATTTATTTCAAAACAAGTAGATACCAGAACTATTAAAAAACTGGGTGCAGTGAAAAAGGATACCCGGTTCTGGCCTATCATCTGATGAAGTATTGATACACCTGACTTACAATTCCTTTAACAAAACTATGAGGTGAAAGTAGCAAGGCTCCAGGCTGGACACGGGTGACCAGGGACAGGAGACAGGAAGTACCCACTCCTTGTAGGCTCAGCATGAGCACCTATGTGAGAGGTGGCATGTGGAGTCAGGCTAGAATTCAGGCCCAGTCCGCTCACTCTGCAATCTGCAGCTACAGTGGAAACTGAAGCTTTCCCTCATCCTACTGCCTTATGAAGTGTAGGTCGGAAGGGGACGGCTGCCTGTGACGTCTCTGCCAAACTGGCACAGGCACCGCGCTGCCAGCTATCCCCCAATCTATGGGTCAACAGCCTCGTCGTGCCCTGTCCTTGTCTCCAGGACGTCCTCCATTCCTACGCTTCTCCATTCCTCAGTCCTGTGACTGTCAAAAGGCCTGTGTGGAGCTGCCTTCTTCCCACCGGGACCATGTACGGGGAAAATAAATGTCTGTCTTGTACAGGGTAACACTGTATCTTCACTCATCCTACCTGTAAATGAAAAAATTTTATATATAAGCAATCTAAACGATAAACATTTTTTAAAAAAGCTACTAGAAAGAGATTTTATAAGGAAAGACACGTACAGTCTAATGTCAATCGCTGTCAGCACTTTGGTGATTAAAGACATCTGTCTCCCTTACTATGCATCTTCCTTCCTTTAAAATATGGAGTCACAGAAGTGTTGGACTGGGTATCAACCGCAGTAAGTCAACTGGATGCCACCGTAGCATTTTTCTTCATGGAACAAAAGTCATAGTTCTGATGTAACATGTATGCTGTCCCTGTCTTATCTCTATGAATGTATCTTGGTGTTTCTGGTACTCCTGGAATGCGGAAGAGCTACTACAGACCAGAACTGTCACCCACCCAACTTTGCTCAGTCAGCTGCTTTAGAATTGAAAGCCCGAATCATCCTGGCACCTCTCTGGGATGCTGCTGTTGGTCCAACTCTGCAGTAGGCACAGACACACAGACTTGACCTGAATTTTAAAAGCTTCTGCTTCACTATTCAGTCCTTTCAATCCAGGCTCGCCTAAGCTATATGGAAAGTGAACATCACAGAGTAAAAGTTCATCTTCCCAAGGAATGTAATGAGAAGAGAAAGCTGCTACTTATGCACAGACCAGCTCCTCCCTGGTCTTGGTTTTCAGGATGTAAATCATACTCCTCCCACTAGGTGTTCAACAAGGAGGCGCTCCCTACACAGGGGAATTTGTGTTTTATCAGACTCATATCCTAAGATGTTAAAGTTTATATGAAATCTACTTAGTGAAAAGCTAAGGCTTCTGAGCCAGCAGCCTGGGACCAGGGCTTGTTTCTATCATTTTTTTTTTGTATAAGCGTTTATCAAATTTCTTATGTGCTATAACTTATAAATGGCACATGTTCCTCTCAGCCCTATGAGGCTCATCAAGCACAATCTCACCTCTCTCTCTCTCTCTCTCTCTCTCTCTCTCTCACTCACACACACACACACACACACACAGACACAGAGCACCTGGTAAAATGAAAAGTACACACTTTCACACACAATTGCTAATAATGACAGTGGGGGGTGGAGAAAAAGAACTACACTTTTATTTTTATCTGATTATAACTGAATGAAGCTGATGGACCCAAATGGACAACTTTTAAGGGCTTGAGTAGGTGGCTCTGGGGTCCAGGTCCAGGCCAAACTCAGGGAGAAACCAAGGTGTGTAGAGACCCTAGAAGAGTGGTGTGACATCCAAGTATGCTGTGACTTGAACTCAAGCCTTTAGGCTCCACTTTAAAATATTTTCAGTAACTTGAAATTCTAGGTTAATTGGACGAAGAAACAAGGCAGACAAAGAAAAGGGAGGCAGTATGACGTCATGATCATAAAATTAGCAGAATGTGGATGGATATGTAAATATAAAAATTACTAAGAATGGCAAGAAAGGGTAGAAAAATGGAAATGCTGTATGAAAGAAAAGGCAGCCAGGGCTGGGACAGAGCTCAGCTGTTCAGCAGAGTGCTAGCCTGGTATAATAATCAATACCCTGGGTTTGAGCTCTAGAACCACAGAAATAGAGGCTGTCATGCTAACTTTAGTGATGATAGGCCTCTAGACCCCTGTGGTAGGCAGAGAGGGATATTAAAATAATAAAAGCCACAAAGTACAATAAACAATACTAATGAAAAAAAAAAAAAATCCTGCCACGGTAGAGCCAGGAAATGCCTCAGGTTTGCCATCTCTGAACTTTCAGGGGCGGAGGCAGAGGGATCACCACAATCTGGAAGCCAGCCTAGGCTACACAGCGAGTTCCAGGCCAGCCTAAGCTACAGAATGCAATCCTGACTCCAAACCCAGAAAACAGAACCTCCAAACCCACCAAGAAGAACCCATCCTGTAGGGGCTGGAAAGACGGCTCAACCGTCAAGCACACTGACTGCTCTTTCAGAGGACCCTGGTTCAGTTCCCAGCACCCACATGGCAGCTAAAAACCGTCTGTAACTCCAATTCCAGGGGATCCGAAGGCTTCTTTTGACCTCCGCTGGCATTGCACGACACGGGTTCATTTACATATGCAGGCAAAACACTCGTACACAAAATAAAAGTAATAAATAAAATACTAAGAAAAAGGATCAATCCTGTAATAAAGCTAAAGTGGCTTAAAACAAAAAATCAGTTTGAAACTTAAGCAGGCAGAAACCTGAAGTCCGTGCAAGGGAATTTTGGGGAGGCTGGAGGTAAATCTTCAAAATACCGAGGCACATTTGCAGCCCACAGCTCCGAGCCCCAGTGCACAAGTGCTGGTCCCAGTCCCGCCGCCCGGGAAACTTTGTCGGGCGGTGTCCCGGGTGTCAGCGGGCCGCGGGCGGCGTGGCCCCGAGCCCGGCCCCGCGCGGGGAGCCCGGCCGGCCGGCTGTTCCCGGGCCGCGGTCCCTCCTCCCTCCCACAGGCCGCCGCCACGACACCGCGCTCCGCTCCATTCATTGCCCCGGGAGCGGCGGCCGCGGCCGGAGCAGGACCAGATGGGGACCCCGGGTGGCGCCTACTCTGCGTGTCCGTGAGGGAGATCATGGTGGCGGCGGCGAGGAGCGCGGCGACTCAGGGCCCACGCTGCGAAGCCTCGTCCGGAGAGGAGCCTCCGGGTAGCTGCCCAGGACCGAGCCGCCACGTCTTCCGGAAACACGCAGTCACCACCGCCCGGGCCGCAAGGCCGCACCTCATTGGCCAAGTCGCAGCCAATAGCGCGTGCTCTTGTTCCGATGTGTGCCTGGAGGCCACGCCTCTCGGCCAATCAGAGAAGGAGCTCGCTTGTGATTGGTGGCGAGGGCCGACCCGGAAGGGCGGGTGCTGCCGGCCGGGTGGCGGGAAGGTTTTGTTGGGGCACGGCTGACAGGTGCGTGGCGGTGCCGGTCCCTCGCTCGTGGGGCTGCGGACCCTGTGTCGCGGGTCCCTTCGGCCTGCGTGGGAGCCTCAGACACGGTGGCCGCTGTGAGGCACGGTCTTCCCGCTCAGGGGAGCCGGTCCCTTAGCCCACGCTGGCCGGGGAGCACGGGGCGTGGGTCGCCGCTCTGCCCCGGGTTCTCGGTTTTTAAGGGCACGCGTGCCTGCTTGCTGGCCTCTGTACTTCCAGGCTTTTCCATTCAGGAGCCTTGGCCGACCGAAGCCTGTGTATCAGCAGCCATGGCCCACTGGGGCATCCTCTGCTTTCTGCATGCTAAGGGAGGGTGTTAGAAGTTGGCGAAGCTTCCGGACGCGGGTCTTAGAGAAGGAGGGCTGTGCCTCTGGTGTAGCCTGCCGAGCTTCTGTGGCATTTTGCTTCCACGTGGATGACTACTGTGACATAGCCGTGGGTGCTTAGCTTAAACTTTTGATTAACAGACTTGTTAGTAGCTTAATAGCTATTGAATACGTTTTGTGTTGCGGTATCTTTTGCTGTAAAAAAATTGCATAAATTTGGAAGGACATGTTTTTGATAGCGTAATCAAATAAGTCGTTTAAAATCACCGGGCCTGTAGGGGGCTGTTGGAATATCGATAGTATCCTTAAGAGTTAGCTTGTTTCAGGCTCTGTAAATTTGTGCACTGGGCACTTCGCCTGGCTGTTCGGATACAAAGGTGAAGAGATTCGCCTCTCCCTGTTAGAGGACCTTACCGTCCACTGTATCTACAGGATGTAGTGAGTAGATGTTTGAAAACAAAGAAAGAGAAATCCTTGACTTCTACCACCAAATGTCTGTTAGTGGTGTGATGCTTCCATACCATTTAAGCAAGACAAGAAAGACTGAGCCCATCTGCACCTTGTACAGGAAGAGCATAATTCTGTAGACTGGTGTGAAATGAACCTTTTCAGATTCATTCCTTTTAGGCCAGTAGTTTCTCGTGAGAATGAATTTAATTACAGCTCCTTAAAGCAAGTGCTTAGTAAGATACTAAATGATTGATTTGTTTATGTGTTTTGCTCAATCTGGGGCATTTGAATCTATCCATCTTTTTATGTATACATGGGTTTTGTTAAGTTTTTGGTTTTTTTTTTTTTTTTTTAAGACAGTTTCCCTATGTAGCCTTGGCTGACCTGAACTCTGTGTGTGGATCATGGATCCTTCTCTCACAGAGATCTGCCTGCCTCTACTTCCTAAGTGTAGGGACTAAAGGCCTGCACCACCAAGCCGGGCTTCATCACAGTTTTTTGTTTTTTTTTAAAAATATTTTATTTTTATTTTATGTATATCAGAGTATTGCCTGCATGTAGGTAAGTGCACCCATGTCATACAGTGCCTGCAGAGGACAGAAGAGGCAGTCAGATCCTCAGGAACTGGAGTTACGGACAGTTGTTAGCTGCCATGTGGGTGCTGGGATTTGAATCCAGGCCTTCTGCAAGAACAACCGGTGGGTGTTCTTAACCACTGAGCCATCTTTCCAGCCCTCATCACAGTTTTTAAGGCAGAGAAAAGGCTTAGAGGAAACAAGGTGTGCCATTTGCTAAAGTACACGTGAACCTGGTGGTAGATCTGTTTACTATTTTGGTCTTTTGTCTGCATCTCTTTCCATCTGTGGTGTTGACATTCTTTTACCACCAATATCTAGGGGATTAAAAAAATAAAACTACTGTAGGAAGAACCATGTATTCTTGAAATGTGGTTACAATGTATAATTTGTTTTCCTTTTGTGTTCATAATATTGACAGGTTGTCATTGATTAAACATTGTCAGTAGTATTGGTTTTGTTTGCTTTTTTGTTTTTGTGGTGCTGGAGATTAAAGTCATGACTCTGTGTAACTCACCACAGTGGGTTTGCATGGCTGTGAATACCAAGCCAAAATAAGCAGAGCCCAAAATACAAAAGAGTGGAGAAGGATTTATTATCTGGGAATTATTTGCAAAACCATGCTCCTTCCAAACAAACGAAATTTATTAGGGAGGCCTATACATATTCATATGGGGGAGGCACATTGGGACGTGTACACTCCTACACATATCCAGTTTGCACCATCAAGTTTTAGCTGACATTAAAGAATATTTTGGAAGTGTATTAACACCAGGGGCCAGAGAGATGGCTCAGCAATTAAGAGCACTGGCCAGTCACACAGAGGACTGGGGTTTGGTTCTCAGCATCTCTGTGGCAGCTAACTGTAAGTCCAGTTCCAGGGGAATCTGATGCCCTCTTCTGGCTTCCAAAGACATTGCATGCATGTGGTGCACTTGCATATATGCAGGCAAAACATTCATATACATAAAATACATAAATCGGCCGGGTGTGGTGGTGCACACCTTTAATCCCAGCACTCGGGAGGCAGAGGCAGGTGGATCTCTATGAGTTCAAGGCCAGCCTGGTTTACATAGTGAGTTTCAGGACAGCTGGAGCTACAGGGAGACCCTGTCTCAAAAAAAAAAAAAAAAGCATAAATCAAAATTTTTTTCCAAAGTGTATCAGCACAGGAATCTGCCTTTGAGGGTGTCCCCCTTGCTTAAGCACTAACACCTGTGCATGTTAAGCAGGACGTTACCAGCCCAAACAGTATTATAAAAAACAACGTGGCTGTCTTTGTTCTTTCATTTTAGAAAGCAGTCGGATCTCCAGGTCAGCTGTAGAATGGCGTCTGTTTCAGGTTAGTGGATGTAGCTGTTCTTTGTACTTCCCTCAGTTCTATTTTGAATCCTGTGCCCTTTGGTCAAAAAAAGAAGTTTTTAAAATTCTGATTCTAGATTTTCAGCTGTTTTATTATGCTAAAATATGCACAACAAAATTGATCATTTAACTGTTAGTAAGTGGACAGGTCATTGACACTAAGGGCATTCTTGCTCTGTAACCATCACCACTGTGCACCTCCAGAGCCTTTGCATCATCCCAGACTGAATGCTAGTCCACCAGAGCTTCTCATCACTTCCTCTTCCCCAAACCCTGAGAGTTACTCTTGGCCTTTCTGTCTCTGAACTTGACTTTTTAATTATATGTGTCCTTTTGTGTCTGGTGTACTTCGTGTAGAATGCCTTCAAGATAAAGTGTCGAAATGTCATTCCTTTTAAGGCTGATAATGTTCCATTCTATGTATGTTTTACATTTTGTTTATCCACTCATACTGAGGATCACTTGAGTTTGGGATTTTTTTTTAAATCTTTTGACAACTATGGATAATTTTGATAAACACTTTGGTGTAGAAATGTGTAAGTTCCTCCTTACAATTCTCTTAGAAATTATTTATTCATTAGTGTGTGTTGGGGGGGCAGGAGATGTGTACCACAGCATGTTTCAAGGTCGGAGAATATTTTTCTGAAGTCACTTCTCTCTTTTCACTGTGGCTTTTGGGGGATCAAATTCAATTGAATCAGGCAGGGGAGGCAACTGTTATGGTTCACTTAGGTTGCCAGCTTGACACCCCTGGGAAGAGGGAACCTCAATTGGGGAACTTCCCCTATTGGATTGGCCTGTGGGCATGTCTGTGAGGCATTTTCATGATTGGAGTGATTACAGGAGGGCCCAGCCCACTGTGAGTGGTGCCACTCCTAGCCAGGTGGCCCTGCATTGTATAAGAGAGCAGACTGAGCATAGGTCAGAAGAGCAAGCCAGTAAGGAGAGTTCCTCCATGGTTTGTGCTACAGTTCCTGCCTCCAGGTTCCTGCCGTGAGTTCCTGCCTGATGTCCCTCAAAGATGGACTGTGCCTTGGAAGTGTGAGATGTAATAAACCATTTCCTCCCCAGTTTGGTTTTGGTCAGAATGTTTTATCACAGCAACAGAAAGCTAGCTAGGACACTACTGAGCCATTTTGCTGGCCATCCTTTTAGTTCTATCAGGTTAACAGAAGGTTCACAAGGGCAATGAACTTATGATCGTTGTCCTGTCTTTTCTGTGGTATAGTGAATATGGCCTTTGTTGCATACTGCCTCTGCATGTTGGGTAACAGGATTGGGTTCGTTTTAGAAAAACACTCAGAAATGCTTTCCTTCAGTATGAGATACCACCCATCACGCACAAATACACAACTTGTTACAGTTTATTTAGGTGTAGTGTGATTAGACAATGATGGAAGCTTTGGGCTTTGTCTCAGGTCCTGTTTTCATCTGATGAAGCTTACTTGTTGGTAACATTTGTATTAAATGCTTACCAAAGTAGTCTACTATGTGACAAAAGTGAGACTTCTGTACCAGATGTTGCTGGACAGCTGTTCAGTTTGGCAGATTTTGCCTTCCATATGTTATCTTACTTATCAAGACTTCAAGATCTACGGATGGGGTATGATTTAAAGTAACCAAATAAACAGATACACTGGAAGTTGTGCCCTTTATAAATAAACCTACCTTCTCTTCTGTTGTTCTAACAGTGTTGTCATACTTGAAATGCCTCCTTGAAATTGCTTTGTATCTGATGGCTTCTTTAGAAGAAAATCGCTTTCATTGTCCATTTAGTCTGAGATATTTCTAGAACAATCTGCTGTTTCTGAAGAATGAAAGCTTCCATACATCAACATAAACTTAGACCACAAGAGTCTTCCCTCACTCAGCTCAGCATGCTCTGCAGTGAAGTAGCAGCCATATGCCCCGAGCACCAGTGTGGACTGCAGAAGTCCTTCACTTGATGTTTAATCTCACCTCCTGTAACTTGCGTTGTGCAGGCTAGCATTAGAAAGGGTGTAACTTGGGGCTGGAGAGATGGCTTAGAGGTTAAGAGCACTGGCTGCTCTTACAGAGGACCTGGGTTTGATTCCCAACACCCACATGGCAGATAACAACCATATGTAACTCCAGTTCCAGGGGATCTGATATCCTCTTCTGGCCTTCTTGGGAATTACACGACCATACATTCATACATATAAAATAAAAATATTTAAAAAAGAAATGGTGCAACTTTCAAGGATTCAGAGCTCTTCAGACAGCGGGTCATTTACTCACATGAATTCACAGCACTGGTAACAGCGTGCACAAGTTTATGCAAGCTCAAACCAGACAAAATCTCAGCATAGACATGAGGAACCCAGCATAAGGAAATTATGGCAACCAATGGCTTCTGGGAGGGGAGAGACAATCTCTTTCAAAGATGGGACTCTTGGCAGGTTAACTGGACTCCAGTGGAGGAACCCACACTGAAGTGTGTTTGGGGACATAAATTGGACTCTATGGGCCTTATTAGTATATTATTAATATACTAATAATATTAATAGAGTACATTAAATTGGGCAGGGGCCAATAAGAGGAGGTATGGATAAGGGAGGGGAATCTAGAGACCATCAAATTATATTGTATGAAAATTGAAAAAATTCTAGTTAAAAAATTAAAAAACGGTGTAACTTTGAGTAAGTTTGTCTAAATACCTGGACTGTGAGTGGCTGGGCTTCTCCCATTCTTAGCCCACCAGGATTCTCTGTAAAGTCTATTGGTGTCCACTCACTGCTGGGGGTGATGTGATACCTGTATCAAGTAGAGTTTGATCAGTGAAGCAGAAGCACTTGGCTGCTGTACAGGATTTACTGCAGGGATTGACTCTTACCTGACTGTGGGGACTGGTTGCACTTATGCTGTGTGTGTTGTCTTGTGTTTGACACTTGGCCTTGGGTTAGTAGAGCCAGCAGGTCGAGGGAAAAGAGGCATAGAAAATGGGCAGAGTGCTGAGCATCCAAGGCATTGCACACAACCTGCTGAACGTTCAGAGGGGCCAAGAGAGGCTCTGGAGGTCCCTCAGGCCGACTGCTTTCTTTCTCAAGGTGCTCTAGCACAGTTAGAGTCCCGGGCCCTGCTGCTGTCTGATGTCCAGGTTACCAGCCCAGATCTTACACTGACCATAAATACAGAAAGTGTGATTTTCTATTTCACTTCTAAGTCTCTAGCAGGGTTCTCTTGTATAAACCTAACCTAGACCTGTTCAGGGGAGGTCAATTCTGGGAACTGTAGTTCTAGCTTAGCTAAGTTAGCACAGCACAAATCTACTGGACTCCACCTCTTGCCCACTTGACTTCTGTCATATTTAAATGCAATCACGCTTCTCCCAGGGTGGCTCAGCTCTCCCTTGCACAGCTGGATGGGCATGGACCTCCCCAAGGATAGCACTGGCTCTCTTGATTCATTTTGTGTGATTTTCAGCCCTTGTTTTTACTAAATCACATCCTCCTGGAAAATTTTGAACTTCCATCTTGGCATCCTGGTTAACTACTATTAGCACGTTTTATGTTAGATGTGTAGGAAACAGGAGAGGGACTAAGAAAAACCATATACAAAGCCAGGAGGCTGACATATGGGCAGAGACAAATGAAGGAGACAGATAAGTCATCCAGTTACCATCTCTCAGCTGGTCACATGCTGCAGTTGGTATTTAGAACCACCCTCTTCATTTCCAGCTCCACATGGTTTGCACTCGGCAAGCATCCTAACTGGTTGTGGGTTCTTTCCAGGTGAAGGCTTACTTAGCAGTATGCTTGTTATAGTTGGTTACTGTAATTTTCTAATCGATTTAACCACAGGCTATGGGACTGGTGGGAGGCACCCTAGCAGATCCCCCATTCCAGACTCGCCTTACCTCTCTTGTGTAATAGCAATCCAGTTTCCCTTGAGTAGACAGGATCACTTTCCCCAGCCAACTCAGCGACCCCCTTTCTGCCAACTTACTAGTGCCCAAGCACAGGTATTCAGCTACCAGTTTAGGGGGACCATTGCTTTTTCCTGCTAGAAGCATTTCTTCCTTGATACCTCGAACCTGAAGATCACCAAGTCCAAGTGAGGTGTGAGCAACATGAACCTGACTAGTGGATTTCTCGAGGTGAGTAATGAGCTTGACTAGTGGATTACTCAAGGGCAGGGTAAGATGGCCACTGCCGTTTCTATGGTGCTTCTGTGGCCACTTGCAGCTGAGGGAGAAGTGTCAGTGCTCACTGATAGCACCCCGTGTCTAGGAGCGTACTTCGCTGTCCAGCTTGCACCATCACCAAGTCGTTGAAATGCCACTCTATTCTCTCAGGCCAGCTGCATCTGGATGTTGAGGGATGTGGGTGGACCAGTGACTTCCCTGACACGATTCTGTTACACTTCACTTGCTTTGCTTAGATGTAGTTTGGTGTAGAATATGAAGATGGTCCATAATGTCGTTTGTATGTGAAGGAAGGTAGTTTTCCTGAAGCATTGCTGTCAGGAGAGGCAAGCCCAGGTGCAGCGCAAGTGTCTACATCAGTGAGACACTTTCATCATAGAACGTTCTAATAGCACATCAGCCTGCCACCAAGCATCTGGGCTTCCCTAGAGAATGGTGCCATAGCAGAGAGTCGAGGTTGGTATGAGCTGACTTCCAGTTGGGCACTCGCCTACATGTATAGCCAGATTACTCTCAGTTAGTGGAAGTCAGTGGTGCTCTAACTTGGGCACTTTGTTCCTGACCTTGTTCTTGGACAAGTATGGGTTGGCAAGGAATGAGGCTGCTAATGTCCGGAATGTTTTGTCTGCCTGATTAATTAGGGTGTCTCTGTGGAGGTTATTGTTGGTGAGCATTCACATGGGGCACGAGCATCTTCCCACTCTGCCCCTGCAGAGCTCCTCCCTGGCCCTTCCACCACTTTCCAGTCTTCTTGCCAAAATCCTAACCATCCTGCCAGACCCTCCTGCTGATCCATTCACTGCCAAAGACCCATCCATCCTGCCAGACCATCCTGCTGATCTATTCATCACCAATGGATTAGTGTGAATCTGTCCTCTGGCAAAGGGCATCCATGTGCACTGTGTGAAGAGCTGCAGATTGCTCTCTTCCTTCCTGGTCCTCAGCCCCCTGCAGCACTCTGGCTGTTCATTTTCAGACAGGGCCAGTGTGTCATGCAGAATCTTCTGTCCATCAGGCCAGCATCTTTGTCTTCTTCAGTCTAATAATATGGATGGGGTGGAAGGAGCTCCGACATCGGTTCAGGTTGGCAAGGCAGGGTAGCGTGGGACCCTCCTCAAGCTTTTGGGCTCCTTGCTCAGCCCTTGCTTCACTGAGAACTGTGTGAGCTCACTGCGTGTACTGCTTCCCTTGAGGTGATGGCCGTCTGCCTTAGGAGCGGATGGGCTGAAGGGAGGAAGCCCAGGCTGCAAGGTAACTCAGCTTCTAGGAAGGCTCAGGAGCAAGCGCCGTTGTTTTCAAAAGGAAGGTAGTAGCGCTCTGTAGAGAGTGGCAGCCACGTGCGGTGTCACAAACCTGTAATCGCAGCACTTGGAGTTCAGGCAGGAGGACTGCAAGTCGAGACCTGCTTGAGCTGTGGCGTGAGTTCAAAGCCAGCCTGGGCAACACAGTGAGACCTTGTGTCAGAATGTCATGAAGCCTTGGTCTGTAGCACAGTGGTGGAGAGCTTGTCTGGCGTACATGAGGCCCTCGGCTCAAGCTCCAGCACTGCTAGGATAGAACAGTGAAGGAGCTCTAAGACTTGAGTACAGGGATTAGCCCATCATGATCATGGGAGCTGGGTAAGCAATTGTGCCTCGTTAGCAGCACCAACAGCGGGGAAGGGAGATGGTTGTGAAGCATGGGCCAGTAAGGATGCATGGGGGAGCTGTGTCCTGTAAGGACAAGCTAGAACTTTGGAGGACAGCGTGAACCCCGTCTGGCTCTCACTGGGCTGTGCCAGGCTTCTGATTTCCAGGGTGCTGGAGCCTCAGCATAGACAGTAGCAAATAAACTTACTAAAATTTCCAGGAATACAGAGAAGTTTCAGGCCAACTTGCTGCTCCACAGAGATTGAGCAGGTACTGCAGCAGCTGGCTGCTGACCCATGCCAGCAGGTGAGCCAGCACATCCCTGACATGTCTGAGCTGCTGTCCAGTACGAGCCAGACAGCTCCCTCCCTCCACTTTCAGGTCATAACCACATGATTTCGGCCCCCAATGAGACAACAAAACTACGTAGATCACCACAGGCGGATGTGTTAGCGCTCTTCTTTCAGTTTTTCCTAGCTTCCGTTGATGTGGAATCAAAAAGAATCTGACTTTGACTTTGGACTAATACTTGGATTAATGCTTGGTTTTACTAGATGAACCATACAATCAGTAGACTGGTTACTGTGGGATCGTCAGGCCATTTCCAGCAGCACTCTGTTTCATTCTGTGTGTCCATCATCTTGTTTGCGATTAGCAAGTCATGCGGTTGTAGCTCAGTAATTAGGTGATTAGCATTAGGTGATTAGCTTTATTTTGCTTCCCAGTCTCGTGGGTTTTTTTTTTTTTTTTTTTTTTTGACAGTAAGCTGTTGGACAGTCCTCTGGAATATAATAACAGCTGTCATTCATTAAACACTAAGTTACACGCCAGGTCCTGTGTCAGGAACTTCCTTTATGGCATCTTACTTACCTCTTCCTAACAGAACTATGACTAACAATTATATGTTATCCACATTTTATAGAAGGGGAAAGTGGGAGGCTGGGAAGTATCTCATGGGGATCACGTAGCAGGTAAGAGGAGGGCCTGAGACTGAACCCACGTCTGTGTGACTCCAAACACGTTCTTAACCCCTCTGCCACTCTGCTTAGATGTGAGTAACATGCAGAGATCAAAGGGAACCTAAACTTGCCCCTCTGCCTTGTCATTTTATGCCCCACCCTGTAGCTCTGACGGAGGAACTGGAGTCTGTAACCAATGAGCTCCATGCAGTAGACATCCAAATCCAGGAGCTTACAGAACGACAGCACGAGCTCCTTCAGAGAAAGTCAGCCCTGACGAGGAGAATCAAGCAGCAATTAGAGGATTCTGACGCTGGGGCGAGCAACGACTGCGACTCTTCACCCGCCGCGTGGAATAAAGAAGGTTTGCTACAGCCTTTTCTGTGCGAGTTTTGTTTTTCCTTTCTTTAGTCTAGAATTAAGTCACTGCATGAATCGGTGTTCAAGGGATAAAACTGGATCTTGGGGGAACGGGAACGTACAGGCAGAGCAAACTGTTCCATGTGCTGTGGCATTTTTGAGTTAGACTTTTCTTGTGGGGCTTTATTTTTCCCTCATATGGTTCTGGTACAAATAGCCAGTGCCTGGAAAATAAGACATTAGCTAGATTTTCTAACCTTTACAGAAACAACAAAAACAAGTCAGTCAAATTCTTAATTTAAAATCTTGAAACAGGAGCTGGAGAGGTGACTCAGTGGTTAAGAGCACTGACTACTCTTGCAGAGGACCCAGGTTCGGTTCCCAGCATCCACAAGATGGCTAACAATGTCTGTAGCTCCAGTCCAAGGGATCTGATGGCTTCTTCTGGCCTCTGTGGGTTTGCACACACATGGTACACTTAGATACATGCAGGCAAAATGCTCACACATATAAAATAAAAATAAAAGATATTAAAATCTTTAATGAAACATCATATTACTAATTTTAATAGTATATTAGAAGGAATTATAGTTCTTTTGTTGAGATTTTCCAACAAAATCCAGTATGGTTTTCTAAACACAAGATATACACCACAAAAAATTCCAGATTTTTAAGTTCATTTGAGTGTGAGATTTTAGGGTACTGTGTATTCTCTAGTCAGTATTCAGACCATTTCAGATACCTGAGTGCCTTTCTCTTGTGTGGGGGTTAATTCAACAACTGGCAGATGTTCCCTTTTTTCTGATGCACTAACTGTACTTCACTTAAGTTGCCTTTGCTTTGCCTACTTATTGAGTTATACTAATCACGGGATTGTTATTATATAACTTGAGTGATTCCTGAATAGCGATTCATGTATATTCTGTATTGTTTTATGAAAATGACCATTTGCATTCATATCTAACTTACACTCCTGATGAGTCTAATATATTTAGCTTCTCTTTCTTTTTCTAGATTTTCCATGGTCTGGAAAAGTTAAAGATGTTCTGCAAAATGTCTTTAAGCTGCAGAAGTTCAGGCCACTTCAGCTGGAAACCATCAATGTCACAATGGCTGGGAAGGAAGTATTTCTTGTGATGCCCACCGGAGGTGGCAAGAGCTTATGCTACCAGTTACCAGCACTGTGCTCAGATGGTATGTGTAGGTTTCAGGGACTAGACATCATTTCTAATCAGACAGGGGTTTTGGTGTTATTTTATTTGTCTCTACATTGATAGAAGTTATTGGCTGAACTGTGTTACAAGGGACTTATTCAGGAATGGAGATGATGATGGTGAGTGCAGTTTTGGGCGTCTAGGATTTCTGATGCTTAAAGGACATGCGGGTGAAGCTGTCCTGTGAGTGGGAGGATGTGTGGATCTTAGGTGTGGGTGGGATAGATTTGAGTTAGGTGAGTGGAGGCTGTCAGCGTAGAGATGCCCTCCAGTGGTGTCATCTACATGGCATGAGCCCAGAAATGCATGAAGTAGACTAGGAAGGAGGAGCTTGCAGGGATGATGAGAGTGATGAGGCAGAGAGGGGAGCAGCCCAGGAGGGGAGCAGTTTGGGAAGGGAAGAGTGTGGGAGGGGAACAGCCCAGGGAGGGACTGGTCACCAGTGATGTCTGTTAGCGAAAGGTCAAATAAAATAAGGACTTAAATGTTCCATTAGGTTAAGGACTAATCCTTGACCTTGGCTAGGAATGTCAGGAGGAAATTTGGGGGAACCAAATAGCAGTGGTTTGGAAGTGAGTAGGGACTGAGTATGAGGCACTCTTTGGAGAATGGCTATGCAGGAAAGAAGAGAAAGCCTTAACCTAGGTGTTTTTTTAGCCTGTTTGATCTGCTATAACAGAATATCTTAGACTGGGGAATTTATGAATAGCATGTTAGAATGTTTATTGCTCACAGTTCTGGAGCCCGGGGAGGCCAGTGTCAAGGTGGCAGCCAAGGTAGTGGCTACTAGTGGACCTGCATCAGACACGGCAACTTCTCGCTTCACCCTCACATCACGAAAGGAGCAGGAATCTCTTCATCTTTCTTTATACGGGCACTGATCCCAGGCTCTTCCTTCTTGACTTCCCAAAGCTGCACCTTTTAGTTCCATCACACTGTGCATTAGGTTCCAACATAAGGTTTTCACGGGTCTCAATATTCAGACCACAGCAGCTGACGGTGACATCTGAAAGATGAGACATGACCATGTTGAAGTGTACTGAGTGGGTGCCTGTAATGAAAGAGGAGGTGAAAGTGTGGGAAAGACCATGACTGACGGGGCGAGACCCCTGATACAGTCCCCATTTGAATATGTGCACCTAAGCCTGTCTCCTCTGCCTGAGATTATTGTAAAGAGCAAATGGAAGAAATGCAAAGTAAAGCAATGTCATTTTAACAGTGTGGGGTAGCTGAGAGAGAGAGAGAGAGAGAGAGAGAGAGAGAGAGAGAGAGCGCACAGATTATATGAGCACTATTTTCTCACTCGCTGTTCGACTGTGTCGCTGCTTTCTGCTCAGGCTGAGTTGATCTGGTGTGAGAAGTAGAAGACCTGTGCTGGACAGATGGCTCAGTCATTAAGAGCACTTGGCTGTTCTTTCAGAGGACCCGGGTTCAGTTCCCAGCACCCACATTGGCAGCTCATACCTGCCTGCCTGCACATGGTTCACATGCATACACTCGGGCACACACACATATGAAATAAAGAAATGCATCTCTCTTTAAAGAAAGTAGGAGACTCATGCTCACGCACCTGTTGTTCTGAACAGTCCCATCTGCTCTGCTCTCTAAGGGAGCTTTGAAATGATTTTCCCTGATGCATCTGTTTAGTATTTGACCTGACTTTGATTTCTAATACTGATTGTTGAACATAACAAATTCAAAACATTAAAAGTCAATTTTCATAGAATTGCATAAGGGTGGATTATGTTTTATTTTATATTTATTTGGCCTGTAGTCACCCTATTTGGTAATTTCTTTATTCCCGTCTCTCTTATTAATGAAGTTAAGTGATAGTTACTATGTTGATGAGTCCACACTGGAGATCGTCTGAGCCGGAAATGAAAGGTGCAGCCCTTTGTGTAGCTGGAGCTGAAAGAAGATCTTGTTTTTCTCTTCAGGGTTTACGCTTGTGATTTGCCCACTGATCTCTCTCATGGAAGACCAACTAATGGTTTTAAAACAGTTAGGAGTTTCAGCTACCATGTTAAATGCTTCTAGTTCTAAGGTATGTGTCTGTGTTTTGATTTTTGAATTTAAACTCTTCATTGAAGTGGGAGTCTGAGCTGCAGCTGTGTTGCCTTTGATAAGCTTTAGCTACTTATATCAGGAGCTGCAGCAACTTGTCCTCCCTATCAGTATTGACATTTACCAGTGTGTGGCCAGAGTCCTTCCATCTGTACCCAGAGTCCTTCAATCTGTACCCCAGAGTCCTTCCATCTGTACCCCACTCCCCTTGGTTTATGCATGTGAACAAATTCCAGGCTGCATGTTTTAATTAGAAATTTCTTTGTGTATGTGTGTGTGTACATATGCATGCCATAGTGCATGTGTGGAGGTCAGAGGACAGCTCACAGAAGTTGGTTCTCTTCTTCCACCGTGCCAGTCCTGAGGCACAGACTCAGGTTTTCAGGTTTGGCAGCAGGTGTATTTATCCACAGAACCATCTTGGAGGCCCCTGTATACAATTAAAAAGAAGCTCAGTACAGCAGTCACACCATTACATCTAAAATATTTAATGCTAAACATTTGATGCTTTATAGACCCAAGTTTTGTATTTGGGTAGATTCTATTGATAGCTTAATTAAAATAGCGAAATATTTTTTGTTCACAGGTGTATAATTATAAATATAATTACCGTTGTGACCCTAACTGCTGCATTCGGCTTACATTTGGGGGTAAATTATGCCTCTGAGAACACGTATTCTCTACTGAAGAAGCTCTTCATGCTCATTTTTTCCCTTTTTTTGCCAAGTGGCCGCGGCTTCACTGTCAGCACTTGGGTGTTGGGACTACAATAAGGTTCACACAGCTGGTGTGTGGGTTAGTCCAGGGCCGTGGCTTCCATTTTAACAAGCCGACATCTGCTTCTTCAAGCCCTGGGCCGTTGCTTTTCAGTAATAAATCCTCATTTCTCACTCACTAAGGAGTATGCCAGCCTAATTCTTCTCTGATTGTCTGTTTTGCCTTTTATTAGGAGCATGTGAAATGGGTTCATGCCGAAATGGTGAATAAGAACTCGCAATTAAAACTGATTTATGTGACTCCTGAGAAGATAGCGAAAAGCAAAATGTTTATGTCGAAACTAGAGAAAGCCTACGAGGCGAGGAGGCTGGCTCGGATCGCGGTGGATGAGGTTCACTGCTGCAGCCAGTGGGGGCATGACTTCAGACCTGGTGCGTGTCTGTCCTCCGGGACTCGTCCTGAGGGGGTTTCCTGCTGAGCTGATGTGCTAGCAACACTGCCTCTTTTGCAGTTATCTAGCTTGGTGCAGTGTGCACGCTGCAGCGCATCATCTAGTGTCTTTCGCCCTCCCTCTCCTTCGCATTCCCGACCCTGCGCTCGTTTGCATTTCCTAGGCATTTTCAGGACTTAACAGGCCTTCCGGGGGTTTTGTCAGCATCCCACCCAACCCGAAACAGTTAACTCTGATGAGGTGTTTTAGTAGTGCTTCAGCTGCTAGCCTGATCCCATAGTCATTTCCTGGGGCAAGCGATCCAGAACTGTTCTGTTAGAAAACTGCTGGCCAGGGAGATGGCTCAATGGGTGAAGCACTTGTTGTTCAAGTACGAGTTCGAATCCCCAGAACCCATGTGAGCTGAGTCCAGCAGCTCACACCTGTAAGATTTCTGGCCAGTGCTGTGAGTCAAGCCCTTTCCAGGCAGGCACAGTACCATGGACTCCCAACCAGCCCAGGGGCCTTGGAGTTTTCCTTTCCCCTCCTTCCAAGCAGTTTTCGTCCATCTTTCCTGTCTTAGAAAGTCACGTTCATGCATACCTCTGCTCAAGCCATAATTTTGGCGTTTGCAGAGGCCTTTGCATCTGTGGAATCCTGGTTCCAGGGTTCCTGTGGATTCCAAAATCCACAGGCACTCAAGTCCCCTAGACTTATAGACGGCACACATCCTACTGTATAGAGACTGTACACATCCTACTGTACACTGGGAGTCGCCTCTAGGTTACTTAAAATACCTAATGCATGGTGTTACATTGCTCGGGGAGTAATGGTAAGAAAGTCAGCATGCAGTTGATAAAGATGCCATTTCTTTTCCAAATATTTCTGATCTGCACTTTGTTGACCCTGTGGACATGGAGAACCAGTTGTATATATGTCACTCAGCGTATGCTCAGGAGACAGAAACCATTTCAAGTATCCAACACAGAAAGCATTTCAACTATCCAGCACAGAATTTTATGTAAAGTATGATCGTCTAGTAGACTGGAGATGTAGTCCAGGTAGAGGAGTGCTTGCCTAGCAGGCATAAGGCCTGGACTTGTTCCCCAGCACTATGTAAACAAAGCGTGGAAGCGAGGAAGAGTCAGGAAGATCAGAAATTTAAAATCATCCTGGGCTACACGAAACTCTGTCTTGGAAGAAAAAGATTGTGGTGGGGGGTGGTGCATGCCTTTAATAATGTCTTTAACCCCAGAACTCGGGAGACAGAGGCAGGCAGATCTCTGGGAGATGGAGGCCAGCCTGGTCTACATAATGTGTTCCAGGCCAGCTGGGACTATGAGGAGACCCTGTCTCAACACCCCCCACCAAAAAGAAAAAAAAAAAGTCAAGGTAAAAAGTCCTGAAGTAGGTAACTAAAGGTCAGATGCTCAGATCTTGTGGGTGTGAAAACTGAAAGCAGGTGTCATGCAGGTGGGGCAGGAGGGTGGGGATGGTCAGCCACATGGCAGCTAACAGGGAGGCCTTGTGTGGACCTCCACAGAGGCAGAGCAGCCTGGCAGTGGCTGAGTGGCTGACCCTTGGTAAAGCTACATCTTCAGACGGGGGGATCCTGTGGGTGGTGCTGTGGGGTGAGCCCCCTGGAGGGTCAGTCACAGGAACATAGGCAAGCCACACAGGAAGCAGTTTGTGGCGGGTCCTGTAGTCCTGTGTAGATGCTAGCCCTGCATCTCAGAGCAGAGTGTGGAAGGGCCAGGCTGGACTGAGGCAAAGAGCCTGGTATTCATTTATTAATGCGCCTGGCACACCATCTTGCTCTTGCCTTTGCAGATCTGATCGCGACTCATTTCTCACAGCTCTGCCCCTAACGTGAGCATCCTGCTTACCCTTTCTTTGCTGCCTTGCTCTCCCAAGACCAGCTGCCCTTTCCATGGGTCTGTAATTGCTCCCTGATCTGTCTTGATTCCAGTCTTTACACTTTAATCTTCACATAGCAGCCAAAAGTGATCTGTTCTAAATATCAGTCAAATCCTGCTCTTCCCACCCAAACTACCCAGCAGCTTCCCTGTGTTTTAAAATCCAATTTGAAGTTCCTGGAGCCCATTAGTCAGAATCTGATTCCTTCCTTTGTCTCCCTGACTCCCTCTTCATCCTCTGTCATCACTGAGCTCCAGCTGTCCTGGGTTCACCTCTGGGAGCAGTTGTCACTCCTCTAATATATTTAAGTGGTTTGCTCTTTAAACACTGTGGTTTCTTTGCAGAATACCGTTGTCTGGCTCACAGTTTTCTCTCCAGTTCCTGGAGATACTTCACCATCTGTCTGTCAATGAACGGCTTCACAGGACTCAGCACCTGCCACTCCATCCGCTAGTAGTCCCCTGGTTCCTGGCTCTTCCTGTGTTCCTCTGAGTCTTCTCTCTCCGATTTGCCCCGTACCAGGGCTTGTTTTGTGTTCTCTGCTGCTGCTTGTCTGGCTGCTTCCACAGCCTTTTGCGTGTTCCAGCGTGATCTTTGTACCGCTATCCTAGACAGAGTTCGGAAACACGCCTGTAGGTGCTTTGGCTTGGAAATTGCCTGGTGACCCCTCACGCTCTATCAGATGGAGTCCTAGCTAGAATCAGCTGGCTGTACTGTTCATAGTGCCACTTAAGTCAGGCTTCTACATGAATGCTTTGGGGTTCAGGCGGAGGCAGTTACTATGAATGCTGGGGATTTATATAGCTCTAGTATAGGAGGTAGGCAGGACCACTGCAGAAGGGGCTGAGAAGTGAAGGTCTGGGGGGAGCTGGAGATCCATGCAAAGTCACCAGTCATCCCAGGGCACTGGCAAGAAGGACAGACCAGGGCTGGCAGGGCAGTGCCCATGGGGCACTAGAGGGGAGGCTCCCAAGCTCCCTCAGAGGGGAGGTCCCCCAGGGGAGAGGCTCCAGTAGAGCTTACTGTCAGGTTGTTTCCTCTAAGTAGCTTCTGTCGAGGCTGCTGCTGTTTCTGGGAGGAAGAGTCCAGTGAGGAGTGGAAGAGAATAGGAAGTGCTTGATGGGTGCTTCTGCGTCTATTCATGGTCCTGTCTGCCTGCCTGAAAAAGAATTCAAAGAAAGGCAGCTTTTGGAACCGTACATGGAAGGAATTCTGGGAAATGGAATTCCAGCTGAATGGACTGGATGGTCAGTCTGTCTGGCATAGCACAGCTAAGGGCCTCCCCTGACACGCTGAGCATCCCACGACAGCGACTGGCACTGTGTGACCGTCTGTCCTGGTGTCCTTCCCCATGTGCTGAACCCCGGTTCTTCCAGACCCAGCCAGACAGCCCCTCTGGAATCTTGACACCTCCCCAGCAGTTGCCCTTCCTTCATGCTCTCACAGTGGTCCTCTACTGTGGCCTCTGCAGCTCCTACCACATGTGTTCTTCAGTTTCCTCCAAATACCTTAAGAACTGCAGAGAAACCAAGGTCCACCCTGATCATGATTGGGTGTACGTGACAAGCATGAGCCCAGGACGGTGTCCCTAAAGCAGGCTCCTCCCAGTGGTGCTGCTCCTCGTCTTCTGCTCAGAACCCTGTGCCTCTTGGATGATGCCATGTGCAGAAGGCTTTGGATGATGGCTTCTTTTAGCTTGGTGGTTGCAATAGATCCAAATTCTGTGACCATTCCCACTGACTCTTGAATCTGCTGTTCAGCAGGCGTACATAGTAGCTTGAGAGCTTGGCTCGTGTCCCTTATCGTTTGACTTCCTCTGGGAAGATTAAGTCTGTTCACCCCAGACAGAGAGGGTAATGACGTACCAAAGAAACAGGTCCACCCAGTCTAGTTTGGTGAGCCGCTGTGGGGTTACGAGGGTGACTTACAGGAGCATGTGTGACTTGGAAGCTGCATCACTGAAAACCCATCCCAGCATGGGTGGTGACTCACAGAAGCTGCATCATTGGAGTCTCAGGTACAACTTGCAGCACTTACATACTTGACAGTTCCCTTCTCCAGTGACTGCTTACTGCTGCTAAGGTCCAGGGACCCCTCCAGTCTGGGAAGTTTCTTGGGAGCTCCCTGAGGCCAACCAGGAACCTCTCACTCCAGAGGAAAGAGCCACACATCTGTCCCAGAAAGGAATTCCACTTATGGTCAGGACTGTTTCCGGCAGACGCACAGGAAAGCCTGTATTCATGGCAGCTGGCAGGCTGCTGCAGGCGCAGTCGTAGATAGCTCTGAAAGGCATTCGTACCTGTTAAAGGTCACATTTACTCGAATTCTCGGAGAAGACCAAGATGAACACCCTGTGCTGTCTTTTTCAGATTATAAAGCTCTTGGCATCTTGAAGCGGCAGTTTCCTAACACTTCGCTGATTGGACTGACCGCAACAGCAACCAATCATGTTTTGAAGGATGCGCAGAAAATTCTGTGTGTGGAAAAGTGTCTTACTTTTACAGCTTCTTTCAATCGTCCAAATCTGTATTATGAGGTATGCAACCTTCATGTCAGCAGATTGCTTTTGTGAGGGGTTAAAGCAGAGGTTGTTCATTTCACTGTTTGTTTGTACAAGTAACAACTAAATCTGAAAGTTTTTTGGCAGCAGGAGGTAACTAGCAGGTTCGCTGATTGGTGCTTTGGCTTATGTCTTGTACATCATAGTCCTGTATTAAGGTAACTGGAAAGCATTGCCTTGCTAAGTGATACAATCTGTTGTATACAATTTGAGCAAGTCAGATGTGTTTATTAAATTCTTTCCTATATAAGGATTGAGTGCAATAGATGAAACCAAGGGTCCTACTGACATCTATTAGTAAATGACAGAGACAGACAGGCCACAGACGCATTCACCATTATACCGTGTGTAGATTTAGCTTATTATATATACTGGAAAATAAAATATCCCAATAGTTCTTTCCTTTCTTTCAAACCAATTTAAGCACAGGTTAAGTCTTTGACCACTTTGTGGTCTATGTTTTTATAAAAGCATCAGACAATAGAAAAGTCTCCATCTTGACAGGTTACTTGTTTGTATGCCGCATCATCTTTGACAGATTAAAAACTAAGAGTCTAGAAGAGGCTGGGCGGAGGCAGGTGGGGTGAGTCAGGTGGATTAAGTCCTCTGAGGCAAAGGCGCCCACTAGGGACAGGCATTCTGCAGGCAGAAGTGAACCGGCTGGGCTGCCCTGCTTGTTACCTTGTAATAATAACAAAGCTGTTCTGCAGGTTCGGCAGAAGCCCTCGGGCGCAGAAGATTTTATTGAGGACATTGTGAAGCTCATCAGTGGACGGTACAAAGGACAGTCAGGTAACGCAAAAGTAAAGCAGGTTAGGGACTGAGATGCCCTTCAAGAAGCAGCACTGATGTGTACAGTGACTGATGGCTGACACCTGGAAATATTAGCAGGCGGCAGGAGATGCTGCAGATGTGATGGGATCCAGTCACTTGGTGATCTCAGAAGTCGGGTGTGGCATCTCCTTGCCTCGCCCTGTAAATCAGAGCTGCCTGCGTGCTTTTGATTGATCGCCTGCTGTAGCATGGGCCTAAGGACAGCTGAGTACAGGTGGCACATCAAGTTGAGTGTCCTGTGTGGCCAGTGAGCAGCGATGCTCTGGTATAGAACATATAGGACCTTACAGGAAAGGACACTTTGAGATTAGCGCATACTTAAGAGGTTAAGGGGGCACGGAATTGGGAGTATCTTCCCCTGTCCAGAACGAAGGCTAGACAGATGGACCTGAAGCAAGGTGTTCCTCCAAAACTGTTCTCTCGATTGTTAGGAGATAGCAGTGATGTCTTGAGTAAGAGGAGTTCCAAGGTCAACTCAGTCTGAGAAAGGCCCAGCTGTTTGTCCCTTCTAGCCCTGTTTAACTTGATCGTATGGAGCTGTTGCTCGTCGGTTTGAGAAACTGGGTAGTGGGAGATAAAGTTAGAGAGAAAGAGGTGATGGGAACCCAAGCTGGTGGCTCAGGGCTTAATTCTGCTTTAGAGCAAGCTGGTGGTCAGGTCTTATGAGGTACCCAAAGCTAATGTCTGTTTAGGGCCTTGGAAATTTTCATAATTTTTCTCTTGTGCCTTGTCTGGAACATACTGCAAATTCTCTCCCTTGAAGGTGCCATATACACATGTATAATACTTGGCTGTATTTTACTGCAGGAATCATATACTGTTTTTCTCAGAAAGATTCTGAACAAGTTACGATTAGTTTGCAGAAATTGGGCATTCGTGCTGGTGCCTACCATGCCAATATGGAGCCAGAAGACAAGACCAAGGTTCATACCAGATGGTCTGCCAATGAACTTCAGGTTAAGTACATGTATTTTCTATTGAAGCCTATTACCTTTTAAAATATTTAAACTTAACTAACAAAATATTAAAACATTTTAGGTTGTAGTGGCAACTGTTGCATTTGGCATGGGAATTGATAAGCCAGATGTGAGGTTTGTTATTCATCATTCAATGAGTAAATCCATGGAGAATTATTATCAGGAGAGTGGGCGTGCAGGTATGTAGAATTCACACCCAGAAGTAATTTTCAGGAAGGTTTTCAATAAGACATAAATGCTTGAGAATTCTGTATTCTTAATCGCCTTTATTGGGCCGTAATTTTTTGAGCCAAGTTTTTCTATTAGGTTTATGCTTATTTTTTTAGAGAAATTTTAGTTGTGCTCTGTTAGAGTGTCAGGAATTATTTCTGTGTGAGCTGAGATACTATATTCATGTCTGTCTCTTAAAATTTTAGTTAGTAGATTCAAATATAGAACCCAAATAGCTGGATCACTCAGGCATTTTTTTTGTTTGCTTTTCTTTTTCTTTTTTTTGAAATGGGGTCTCCTTGTAGCTCCATCTGACTTGGAACTCACTATGTAGATCAGGCTGGCCTCTATCTCACAGAGATCTGCCTGTCTCTGTCTCCTGAGTGCTGGGATTGAAGGCTTGTGCTCCTATGCCTAGCAATAAGCTGATTTTTTTTTTTAATGTCTCTTATGGTCATTTAAACAATGCTTCAGGGTAGCTGTTACATGTTAATTTCATATCTCAAAACCTTTATCTGTTGTGTGAAGCTTTGCCCCCCAGTATGACATATTTGCACGCTATGGGTATCTAGAAGCAGTGATGCAACCCCTAGGTTTCTCAAAGCACAGGTCGCGATGACTCGAGAGCAGACTGTATTTTGTATTATGGCTTCGGAGACATCTTCAGAATCAGCTCCATGGTGGTCATGGAGAACGTGGGGCAGCAGAAGCTCTATGAGATGGTGTCGTACTGTCAGAACATGAGCAAGTAAGCTGCTTCCTTTCTGTGCCTGTGGGAGACCAGCAGTGACATGTGATGCTACAGTAGTGCTACATGCTGTTAGCATGTGGCACACATATGTGAAAGCAGATGTGGGGACTAGGCCAGGCACCTGCCATGACTGCCTCATCCAGTAGAGAGGCTCCACCTGTCTTTGAGTCCACCCTCCAGGGCTAATTTGCCGAAGGTTTTCAGTGAAGCCTTTTCCTCTGGCACCCGTACATGGCTGCGCTGCAGTGACTGTGGATGTGGACGGGAAGGAGGGCGTTTGGGGCGGCAAGTGCAGTAGCACACCCTTTGCCCTGCTTGTGTGTCAGTGAAGTGAACAAGGGCAGGTCAGGTTTCTTATGAAACACATGGAACTCTACCCAAGGAGCCGTTGCCTAGACTGCATGGCCTCCTGGTGGTCGCCGGGTCTGAGCCCTCTTTGGGTTCTGATCACTTGTCACAGAAGAGCTCAACACTTGACCTAGAAAGCAGTGACAATGCTAGTGATGGGAAATGGCATTTTCTTCCCAAGTGATGCTGAAATAATGAAAAGAAATGAGAAAGTGAAAATTTCTCTGAAGGCCCAGGAGACTCCCATGAAGACTATTTTAAGATTAAATTAAAAATTTTTTATTAATTTTACTTTTTATATGTATGCATGTATTGCACCCATGTTGCACAGTACCCACGGAGGACAGAAGAGGCTGTCAGATCCCCCTGGAACTAGAGTTATGGACAGTTGTTAGCTGCCATAACAGTTGTGGGTGCTGGGATTCGAACCCAGGTCTTCTGCAAGAACAGTCAGTGTTCTTAACCGCTGAGCCATCTCTCCAGCCCCAAGGTCATATTTTTTGCTCCTTTAAAATATAAAGGAACCACCTTATTACAACTCTTATCCTAATAGTTGTAAAGTCTTAGGGCTCGAAATGAGACAGGTGAGTTCAGAAGCAGTGGTTTCAAGGACATGCTGCTGGTAGAGTAGGTGTCACCCGGATCCCCAGCTGGCCCAGTGCAGTCACAGGGGTCCTTAAAGTGGCAGAAGGCGACAGAGTGTAGTTTGTTGTGCTGTGAGGACTCAGCCACTGTTGATGACACTGACGGTGGAAGAAGGCCAGGAGCCAAGGAGTGCAGGCAGCCTCCAGAGAGTAGAGAAGCCACAGACAGATTCCTTTCTAGGGATTCCAGAAGCATCCAGTGTGCTGACACACTGCTTCTGACCCAGGGAGACCCTTCACAGACACATAAGAGAACACATTCGGTAGTCGTAGGCGCCACATTCATGGTACTGTGCTGGTAATAGGAGGAAAGGGGTAAGAGTCTGTGTTCTAATGTGGGTCCTAAAGCCTGGTCAGACAGTACTATCTCCAAATGTACTTGCAGATGTCGCCGTGTGTTGATAGCACAGCATTTTGATGAAGTTTGGAACACAGATGCCTGTAACAAGATGTGTGATAACTGCTGCAAAGATGTTTGTAAGTTTAATTGTTGTTTTTCGAGTTTTACAGGCTACTAATGTAGCCTGGAACACATAAGGGAAGTGTTAGACCCCCCCCCCCATGGACTTGAAAGAAACTATGATTAGAATTTCCCAGATTCAAAAATAATACAAAGGTGAATAAGTAATATGCGTCCACACATTTTATATTGTTATAATGAGGAAATGGAGTTTTTAATGAAAAATTTTGATCTATTTTTATTTTGTATGTATGAATGTTTTGCCTTTTATAAAGTGCACCCATGTCATGCAATGCCTGTGGAAGTTAGAAGAGGGCACCAGGTTCCCTGGAACTGGAGATGGTTGTTAGCTACTACGTTGACACCACGTACTAAACCCAGGTTCTCTGTGAGAGCAGACAGCGCTCTTAACTCCTCAGCCATTTCTCAAATTCCAAGGACATCAAACTTTTAAGAAAAGGAAAACATTATAATTTGTTTGTATAGAAATATTGTTATATAAGAAAATAAAATCTCATGATACTTTCTGGTACTTTATAGCCAGTGATCAGGAAGAAAATTTAGTGCACAGTAGAGATGACAGTAGGTGGCTCTGATGTGGTGGCCAGCTTCTCTGGACAGTAGCTGTGTTGGCACTGGACGGACCTGTTTCTCACAGGCTGAGTTCTGTACCTCAGTGGGAGGAGGGAAGTCACTGCACTTAAAAGTTTACAGCTATAGCAATTTATTAGTTCACAAGATGGTTTTACACTGATCAATTTCATGAATCTGATATGTAAATCAGAGTAATACTTGGGGAGCCTGTCCAGAACATACTCTACAGAAACCTATAAGGCTTGCAGAGCGTGGCGTAGTAAGCACAATCAGATTAGAAAGGTGAAGACCAGGCTCTTCTTAATGCACGCCTCCTAGCGACTGGCAGACATGTTTTGGTTTCCAGAGTAAACCACAGCCTTCCTGTAACTGGGTCATCTTCTTTACATCATCATAAGTTGCTAACTGTGTCACAGGGACTAGAATTTGGTCTAAAGATGGGAGGGACAGCCTTGTCTTACTTCAGAACACATTAATGAAAGCTCTGAGTGAGAGGGCTCAGCCGGCCGAGCCAGTTCAGCTGCCTGAGGCAGCTCCTCCTCACCCTCAATTCTGAACCCTATTGTCCAGCGTTTGAGAAAAAGGACATAACACAGCAGTGCCGAGACCTGGTCAGGATCCTGCAGCAGGCAGAGGAGCTGAATGAGAAGCTCACGCCACTGAAACTGATCGACTCCTGGATGGGAAAGGGCGCTGCAAAGCTGAGAGTGGCGGGCGTCACCGCTCCTGGGCTTCCCCGAGAAGACCTGGAGAAGGTCGTGGCTCATATCCTTCTGCAGCAGTATCTGAAGTACGCACCAGCCTTCCCTGTCCTCCGTTATCTCCACAGCGGTTCTATTTGCAGAATAAATAGCTTTGCAGTTATTTGATGCAAACTTTAGATGCCGTAGAAAACAATTTACCTAATCTTAAGAGTCTTAAACGTTGATTGCTAAATAAAAGTTAAAACCTACTTCCCTTAAAGATAGTTGTGCTGTTCTAGTATTAAGTTTTTCAGTTTCATATTAGTGTGGTGTGTAGTTTTTTCTTGGATGAATGTGATTCCCTCAGTTTCTGATTGCTGGCCCTTTTCTTCCAGAGAGGACTACAGCTTCACAGCCTATGCCACCATTTCCTACCTGAAGGTCGGGCCCAAAGCCCATCTTCTTGACAGCGAGGCCCACGTGGTCACTATGCAAGTGAAGAAGCCGACACAGGGCAGCACCAGGGTAACTGACAGGCTCTGTTTTCCCACTCTGAAAACCTGTGGGGATCTTGCTGTGGTTCTCTCCTAGGCTTGACTGAACACAAAACATCAAGTCAGTTTCTTCTTGGGTTTTGATTTTGGACAGATATTGAGTGCAGTTTAGGCTAGCCCGTATATAGCGGGGGACTGCAGCCATTTGGGATGTGAACACTCCATTTTAGCATCGTAATTCTGTGAGACCTTGCCCTCCTAGTACGGGGTTGGAATCCGTTCTGCTTAAGAATCTATGCTAGGGCCACTGAGATGGTTCAGTGGGTAAGATGCCTGCCACCAGGCCTGACACCCTGAGTTCTGTCCCTGGAATCCCATGGTGGAAGGAGAGAACCAGCTCCTGTAAGTTGACCTCTGATCTCCACCTTGAGCACACACATACAGAGAAATAAACGTAGAAAGTACTGAAGTCTACGGTGCTCCCAAGGCTGGAAGCCACTGCTCCCAACCAAATGCCATCAGCTGCAGAAACTGCCGTGCACCTGTCTCAGGGAACTACAGTTTTTCAGTGCACTTCTTACATAGACCCCTTTTATGAAGACAGCAGCTCATATTGACTAGAAAGCTAGAGATAAAATCCAGGCCCCTCTGAGCTCCTGGGTGCCTCTTCTCAGCCTTACTCTGTCCAGCCCTTTCCCACTGCACCCCAGCTCTGGGTTTCTAACATTTGGGATGCTCTCCTGCCCAGGAACCCTGCCCTTGCATTGTGTCTGGAATGGTCCCTCCTCTGAGACCTTGTGGCTCACCCTTCAGGTCCATCCTAGTGTTTTCTCTGGCACCCAGGAGAGCTGGCTTCTCTTCCTCTTCCCAACACAGCCCCTACTTGACCCAGCACTACACAGTGTTTATGTACTGTCACTCCACTGGGTTGTTATAGGACACAGATGAAAATTTCCCCCAGTGTTGCTGATTTGAAAATAGCTGAGTTCTCAAAGATGAGGAACCTGTGGGGAGGGAGGGCTGACTTCATGTCCTGTGTAAACCTCTGTGGTCCTGGGCTCAGTGGGTCCACCTCTTGGTGGGACTGGAGGACACTGGAACTAGTCCTCACAGAAGCAAGTGTTATTTACAGCAGATGAGAGCATGGGAATTACTTCCAAACCCTCAGTCCTGACCTTGAGTCACTGTGAGAAGAGTCACATTCAAAGGGGAAAGCCTTCATTCCAGTGCTAGTGTGAATGCAGTTTAGCTGGTCAGTTATTCCTGTGAACTCACAGTAGTGGTGACACCATGCACAAGTCCCATGCAAGCTCAAGCCAGACACAATCCCAGCACAGCTGTAGGTTCCTCCAACCTGAGGAACTCCTGGCACCTGATGACTGCTGGGAAGGGGAGGCGGTCTTGTTTAGGGCAAGGTGGATATATACCTTAGAGTACAGAAATTTGGCGGAGGGTTGGCAGGGGGTTTTGGATAAGGGAGGGGATCTGAAAGTGATCGGGATATACTGTATGAAATTCACAAAAATTCATTAAAACCCACAACACCAGGCCTGTCCCAGAGCTGGCTGACATGGGCGGGGGGGTGTTCTGCCATCACTGATCTGAGAAAGCACGGCAGCCATCTTATCAGCTGCTGTTTTGTCTCTCTTGTAGGCTGCATCCTCTGAAACTTGTCAGTCTGAACAAGCTGATGGAAAGGGGGAAGGAAAGCATTCGGGTAGCTTCCAGAAGTCTGCAAACGCCCTTCTGCCATCTGGTTCTAAGAGCCTGGGGGCCAAGAAAAGGAAGCTTGAGGATGCCTGAGTGTTCCTCCAGCATCCACAGGAGTGTGGTTTGTGCATGTATACACATTATTTTTATAGTTAATCAACAGTTTTTTTTTAAATAATTTCATGTTTTTCACATATAAAGCTCTATTTTCCCAGCATATTATCTGAAGATTTGAGAAGTCAAGACCTTTTGAAAATTTGAGATTAATTACATTTTATGGTATGCAGGAAAAAATAAGTCCTTTATGTAAAACCGTTTAAACCTAATATATTTGAGAATAAGTTCTAACTGCTCTGAGCCCTTTATGCCCTGTATGCCTTCTTGCCGTCTCTCTGGACACAGCTGTCTATGGGTGGCAGTTTACACTGATGTGGGCTCGTCACTACAAGCAGCTGGCAGTTTAAGATGAGTGATGTAGACGGCTTCTGCTTAGAAGACACTGCTGTAACTGAAGCTCAGTACAAAGAATGAACGGCAGAGACGATGCCGCCGCACTGCTAGGGAGCAGGGTGCCCTCGGCCTCCGAACCCTGCTTCACTGTGACGCTTCACAAACAATGGCGCTGCCCCTGGAGCACAGGACGGCGGTGGAGCCTGGCCACATGCGCTCTGAAGCTAAGCCACAAGCGGAACGTTTACGAGTAATTGAAGACCCCCCTGTGGCAGGAGGGGTCATTTCTGTATTAGAAAAGTGTATCTGTAAGCAGTCCTTGACATAGAGCTCGTCCTAAGCTTTTTATGTACTTCTCTCCTACTGAGATCATAACTTGTGTATTTTAAACGCCAATGTGGTCATTAAATCAGTGCAGGTATTCTTACTTTTCTTTCTTCTTTATTTAGAACTTCATATGTTCTTGACGAAATTCCAATTTCAGTCAAAATAATCCTCTATATCAATATTTGGATCTAGCAGATCTTTTCCGTATGGTGAAAGGTCCATTTGGTTTAAAATTAGATTTTCAAACGTTTCCTCTAAATCAGTTTCACCAATTAAGACAGCTCCCATCATCCGCCCATTCTGCATGATGGCCTTGACGTACTCCTGGCCTCTGGTGCACCTCAGCATTAACTCATGGTTGGCACCCAAGCCTTGAGCATTGTATTTTCCCAGCAATACAACCTGCATGAGAATGAAGACGTTATCGTGAGTGTCCCCGGCAAAAATCCAAACACTAGACATGATGTGCAGTTATTTCGGGTCCTGTTGGTTAAGCCAGTACAAAAACTATTCAAAAGACTTTCATAGCTCAAAATGTCCCGGGGGGGGGGTCCCAAAGGAAATATTTGAATGCTATGTGTATATTCCATAGAAAACATTTCCACACAGCCTACATTAACATGTCAGGGATTATATTCATTTTTAATACTGTAACATTAAAAATAAAAACTAAGTGTATCAAGTGTATCATACTATATAATCTACAGGAACAGTAAAGATCCCCCATATATATATAATATATTATGCACACACAGACACACACACACACTAGGAGCACATTAACCTGGAATCATATTTTAAAGATTGAATGAAGAACTGACTCAGTTCTTTCTTTGGCTAGTTATTCACTTTCTCTGGGCCATAAGGTTGTGTTGGCTCATGTCTCTTAGGAAGATGCTGCCTCCAGGTGGCGGAGAGCTGAGGTAAAGTTATGCCAAAACATCTGCTTCCTTCTCAAGGACAGCAGCTAGTTTCCTCGTAAAGAAGGAAAGAGGCTGAAAGCTTAGAGTGTACAAACAAGGACAGATCTGGAGAGACTTCCCCTCTTGACTGTAAAACAGTATAGTAACAGTCATTTATGATTAGGAATTAAAAGCAGCAATACTAAGTACTGATTTGCAAGAAATAAGAAACTCATTTTTTTTTATAACATGCTTGAAACAATTTTTTTTTGTTTTGGAGACAGGGTCTCACTGTATACCCCTCGTTAGCCTGGAACTCACTGTGTCAACCAGGCTGGCCTCCACCTGCCTCTGCCTCCCAAGTGCTGGGATTAAAGGGATGTGCATCACGGCTGGCCTGATGTAAAATTTTATTTAGTGAGAAAATAAGATAAGTCATAATTAACCATACTTTCAGGCAGAAACAGCCATAATTTCCTTAATCTTACCTTATAATTAAAAAATTTTGTTACATGGGCGAACAGTTCAAAGCTGAAGTCCATGTCGATGGATTCTCCCAAGGTAGCCGCAGCCATGCACTTGGCCGCGTACCACCCCATCTGCCGTGCCTGCGTCCACAGTCTCATCTGGAATGATGGAAAACGGCACTTGATGTTACTTTGTGTTGTTTGTTTGAGACGGGGCTCCCTATAGCCCCAACTGGCCTGGAACTCACTGTATAGACCAGACTGGCCTTGATCTCACAGAGATCCTTCTGCCTCTGCAGTGCTGGGACTTAGGTGTATGCCACCATGCCCGCCCGGCTGATGTTGATGTTATCATTTGAAAAAAATTATCATTTCAATCTTTAATTTTTAAAAGCAGTTTCTTTTTATTTTTAAAGGTTTTAATTTTAGTTTTAATTATATGTGTGTCTGTGTGGGTTTGTGCACCTGAGTACAGGGCCTCAGAGGCCAGAAGAGGGTCTTGGGTCCTGTAGAGCTGGAGCCACAGGTGGTTTTGAGCTGCTTTACATGGTGTTGAGAACCAAACTTGGGTTTTCTGCAAGAGCAGTACATGCTCATAACAAAGCCATCTTGCCAGCCCCTATTTTTTTAAAAAAATTACACGAGCATGCGTGTGTGTGTGTGTGTGTGTGCACACGGGTGCCTGCAGAAGCCAGAAGAGGGCATTGGATCCCCAGAGCTGGAATTATAGGAGGTTATGAGCCATGCAATGTGGGTGCTGGCAACTGAACTTAGGTCTTGGAAGTGCTCTGTAGTGCTGAGCTGTCTCTCCAGCACTCCCAACCTTTATTTGTGTGTCTGTGGGCATGGACATGCATGTGTGGGGGTCAGAGGGCAATCTTGGGTGTCAGATGTCTGCCTTGCCATCTCCCTTGTTGGAGACGGGACCTCTGGTTGCTTTCCACTGTAGATGCTGGGCTGGCAGGTGCGTGACCTGGGGAGTCTGCCTCTGCCTCCGGTCTCCCCTGGGAGCACGGGGCGTGCGTGACCTGGGGAGTCTGCCTCTCCTCCAGTCTCCCCTGGGAGCACTGGGTTACTGTTACTTCTGTGGTTAAGGCCAGCTTTGTGTGGGTTCTGGGGATTGACACAGGCCCCCACTCTTGCATGGCAAGAGCTTCACCCACTTGAGCCTCCTCAGTCCTGTCATTCCAGTCTAGGAGTTGCCTTGACCCTCCTTCAGATGAGTTGGCTCTAGCTAGTGTCATCTTCACTGGTCACCAGTGAACACCAGTCAGGATGATTTTGTTATGTGCTGATTCTACCTAAATGACCACATCCAGCATGGAGGGACGATACCACTAGCTGTATGTTCCAATAAAACTCCCATTACATATTATGACAGTATTTCAGGCTATTTAAGGTGAGACTAGAACAGTCCTCTCCGAAGTTTGTATCAGCACCGATAGAGATCCCAGACTACTGAAAATCTGGTTCCATTTCCCTGTGCTTGCGCTTCTCGGTATGAGACAGTCAGACCTGTGCAGTTAACAATGGTCAGACAGGCCTGAGACCAACTGCTGGTTCTAGGAAGACCGTTCACTTCTTTATGGTAGTACTAATTTCTCCTTTCTTATATTTTTGTTATATTTTTGCAAATTTTTGGTATTCCCTTATAAAAGACAAGAACACTGGCTTTGGGGGTCACTGGACAATCAATACTAATTTATTTATTTAACTTTTCTGATCTTCAGTTTCTTTACTTGAAATACATACTAACCCTCTCCCCTTGGCTGTTGCGAGAACAGGCTGGCTTTAACCATCGATAGTTTCCATCTAATGCTGACACATGTACAGGACATATCCTAATCACGGGCATGAGCTCTGAGCATGTCTAAAAGAGAAGTCTTATTTTTTAAATTCAGTCTCTGTAAGAAAGGTCTGATGTAAAAGGTCTGCTGCAGAGTAAACGGAGCACAGACAAGCAATACACCACACTGCCTAGCAGGTCTGTCCAACCTTGTGACTGTGGGACACGTCATCTACAAAGTTCACAGTCGGGACCTGAGCAATTGAGTTCCAAAGCAAAAGATCACAGAAACACTCGCAATATTTTAAGTAAGTTGACAATTTTGTGTTGGACCACTTCATAGCTCTCCTGGGATGCAGGCTGTGGGTCTGTGGGACAGACATTCCTGACAGAATGAACATTCAAGCCTCAAAATCCCTTACATCTGCATCTTGGGTGATGTGAAACTAATTAATGTTCTTATTGCAAATTAGAAAATGGATCTCCTCGGATCCACTCAAACATGGACATCTGTTTATTCTGGACTATTTTTTCCCCTGTATCAGATAATGATACACATTAAAGATAAAATTTACCCTAGGGGGTTTAAAATAGAAAAAAAGTATCAGCCCATTACATTAATTCTTCCTAAATTAAGACATCCCAGTCTGATTACTAAGTAACTTTAAAAAGGTGTGTGTGTGTGTGTGTGTGTGTGTGTGTGTGTGTGTGTGTGAGAGAGAGAGAGAGAGAGAGAGAGAGAGAGAGAGAGGAGAGTTATGTATCAGAGAGTTTCTGACTCAGAGCAGAAAGGCTGAACACCAGAAAGCCATCTTGGCAGCACCGGCTCCATTCTCACACGGAATCGGATAGAACCATGTGGTCACAGGTACGAGCTCACCTGCTGCCAGACTGGGCTTGGCTCCCAGCACGCAGTGCAGATGTCACCAGCAGCATAGACATCGGGAAGGGATGTGCGCATCTGGTCATCTACTCTCAGGCCGCCGTCTTCTCCTAGGTCAAACTAAACAACTCATTGGAATAAGGATGACAAAAATCGAAAAAATGACTTTTCCCTTATAAAGAGCAAATCAAACTTTTACACCAAGCTTCAGGGAGATACTGAGAAAGAGCTGCAGTGTAGACACTTGACCTGAATTTCTAAGGATGGAATTCCTACTGAACAGACTCAAAATTTCCAGAATTTCAACATCAAAAATATCCAGTAATCACGTTTACCCTACCCATAATCAGAAGAACATTCCTCTTTTTTTGGGCTTCAAGTGCTCAACTGCAAAATACAACAATATTTAAGATTTACTCATGTTGGCTACTAACCTTTGATAAATACACACTGTGTCTCTAGATGACACTTAAGCTGCGATGTTACCTGCCTAAGGATATTAAGCAGGAAAGAGTATCGAACCTCAAGTCAAACAGAAACCTAATTCTGTTCAGTCATCTTAGGTTACAGTTTTATAGTAAAACAATCATTATTTATGTTTGAAAACTGACGTCATCAGAAAGATGTTTTTAAGAAGTTCCTGGTTGGAAGGAGTCCGCCTTACATTGTTTCCCTGGAGGAAAGGCTCTACATTGGGTGTGACTCCTGTAGCACTGACGAGGAAATCACAGCCATATATCTTTCCACTGGTCAATTCCACATACACAGGCCACGTCTCTTAAAAAAAAAAAAAAAAAGACTTTATTCTCACCAGCAGTTATTCATTATGTGAAATAACAAAGAAACCGGAAGGCAGGTGATGACTACGGAACGCCTCCTTTTAGAAGGCCCTTTGCTGGAAGAGTTGAATGCAATGGTGGCATCCTGTTCAGCACAGGTCCAGAGCACAGCATCCTGTGTGTCCACTAACCATAGACACCTGAACCAATGGGCAGTCTGATGACCTCTGAGCTCTACTGACATGCACACAGCTAGCTCCCTCTATGTTCCCAGCTCTGCTCACTCCCTCTTCCTGTGGGAATCTGGAAGGATGCTGAACACTGGCTGCCCGACTGCACGTGGGTAAGGTGCAGGCATGGGCAGACTAGGAGAGTTCCCACAAAGGGGTGGGATGAGACTAAAACCTGCTTTTAGTTGCAACATACAAAATTTTAATTTAGAAGTCACACTGCTTCTGAGAGTGTCATTTTTTGTATGAATCTGCAAAAAACTGACTCAGTGTGTTACAATGGTCCAAGTACTATGAACCCAAATAAAATGGAAAGCCCTCTACTACTGAATTTATTAGAAAACTTAAAACAAGTAGCCAGGTCAGGAGTGGTGGTGCATGCCTTAAATCTAGACACTTGGGAGGCAGAGGCAGGCACATCTCTGTTAGATCCCAGCCTGGTTTATATAGCAAGGTTTGTGGGGCTACAGGGAAACCCTGTCTAAAACAAAAAGCTGGGCATGGTGGCGCATGCCTTTAATCCCAGCAGAGGTAGAGTCAGGCGGATCTCTCTGAGTTCGAGGCCAGCCTGGTCTCCATAGTGAGTCCAGGCCAGCTAGGGCTACAGAGAGACCCTGTCTCAAAAAGACCAAAAACAAACAAACAAAATAAGTTGTGAAATGCAGTGATTTAAGTTACTAAACTATGGGTTTTCAGTTAAATTTCATATGGAAATACAAAATTTAAAAAATACAATATAGCAAGATTATTTTAAATAAGAAATGGAATTCCTTCTTTCATGATTTACCTTCATCAGTGGTAACCGATTTACCATGGTGAGCCTTTGGGAAAGCTACGGACTGTTTCTCTGTTTTCTTGAACTCTTCCTGAAGGTACAGTTTCTTTACTTCACATGCAGTTTCAATGTGAATGCTGTGGGAGAACTAGAGAAAGGCAGTGGAATCACTGTGACACCCAGAAGGAATGCTGGGGTTACCGAAAGCTAAGAGAACAGTTAGACCGCACGTGTGGAAGCGTACAAACACACTGTATGTCCCAAAATGAGGCTCTCGGTCTGTCATGACGGAGTGAGCAGCAACTCATTCAGTGCTGAAAAGATCAGGCATCCGCATGGGCAGGAGGGCGAGGGCTTGGAGTCAGTCAGCCTCACTGATAACTACACATGCAGTTCATTACATTGTGGCAGACTGCAAAGGCTTCTTCATCACAGAACCTGAGAGAAGGGCCAGGCAGACAGCAGGGAACAGTGTTGACTGCACACTGTTCAGTTCCTGTGCTGACAGTACAGCTACTCTAAAGAGAACAGGGACTTCAGTTTTGTATCATTTCCAGCCTGCAAATTAGACTGTGTATCCAGTCCTGCGCCCATTTAACTACACCTGAGCAGTTTTACAGCAGCCACACAGTAATGAAGACTAATGAAAACAGAGTCTTACATTTGAATGTAGCTTTTTTGCAACTTCAAAAAGGTTTTAAGTAAAACAAGTCATCTTGCTTAGTTAATTAGGATATGATTTTTTTGTTGTTATTTTTTTGAGACAGGGTCTCCCTGCCGCCCTAGAACTGGCCTTGAACTCAGAGATCCACCTGCCTCTGTCTCCTGAGTGTTAGGACTAAAGGCGTGCACCACCACTCCCGGCTATGAAGTATGTATTTTGAAACTACCTAATAACCTTGTGAAAGTACCTGCCACTGTGGTGGGGCATTTCTTTAATCCAAGCACTCGGGAGGAGGCAGAGGCAGGCGGACCTCTTGAGTTCCAGGCCAGCCTGGGATACATGCTGAATTCCAGGCCGGCCAGTTAGATAGTAGATCCTGATCCTGTAGAAAAAAAAGGGATGCTATGGGAGGAGTTGGAGAGGAGGGAGTGGGCATGGATTTGATCAAAACACCTTATATGCTTATATCCTTGTATGACATTCTCAATAAATTGTTTTAAAAGACAAAAAATGGGGGGGGGGAGGAAAGAAAGAGAAAGAAAAAAAGAAAAAGAAAAAAAAGCTGCATGCATCTGATTTCTAAGGAGAAACCAAAGATCACAAGCTTTTACTGAACTCTGCATGCAGAAACCTTCACGCTAGCACTTAGAAAGATGGCTGAATGACAGTTTAAGACGAATTTCAAAGTCACCCGTTCTTGGGGCATCTGGGCCAGTGGCTCTGAAGGCCTCTCCCTGACTGCCCTGGGTTTTAAATCAAGGGCCCCAGCAGCTTGGCTGTCGTGAACACTGCCTTTCCGTGTCTAACTGGTATATGGAAACACACCTCTTCTGCTCCTTTCAGGGCCAAGCCTTCGTGCCAGTCCGGGCCCAAGGCGCTGCCCACGCTCTCAGATTCAGCTTTGGTTCTGGCTTCCTTTTTTGATCCTGAAGAAATGAACATTGTTAAAATGTCAGGCAAAGAATTAATCGATACGCGTTTGGGAGCCTAGGCAACGTAAAGAAATGCCTCTCCTGCATGTGTTCATCCAAGCACACACAGAGCACAGCAGTACTGTTACCTACCCTATCCACTCTTCATTATTCTAGAGTTTTGTTATACAGAGCTACAAATGGGCAATCTTTCAACTAAGTACTGTCTACAAACACATTCAGTGTATCTTTTCCATATTATTCTATAAAGGGATAAGAAAATTAGCTATCAGATTTTTAAATTTTTTAAGTTTTAGAAACTCCAAAACTTTACTTTGAACTTTGTGAACCAAAATTATCTTTAAAGGTTATTAAATTAAAACAATGACACTTGTTCTTACTGGATTTTGTAGAAAATCATCTCTGGCATTGCTCAATTGTAGCAGCTGTTTTTCCAAGATGCAAATGGACAGGTTTATTCAATTCACTTTAAGTTCCCATTTATATTTATGTATGTGTGGATAGTTCATAATCTGGAAACTTTATGTAAAGATGTAGAAATAAAAACCTGTATTCCTGTCTCCTAACTATCCCGCTGAATTTTCTCACAGTTGAGAAGCAGAGTTATCTGGGAACGGAGTGAGCCGGATGCTGTGCTCACCTCCAACTGTGTATCTGGTTCTTTTCTGTGCAATTCTAGCTTCCGATTTTTTAGAAATGAGCTTGGAAGTCAAAAACTCGGCCGCTCCCGCATCAAAGAATGTATTCCCAATAGCTTTGTCCTTTATGGCCCAGATCACTTCACAGCCTTCTATTTCATACCTAGAAGGAATTCTAATATTACCTGGAGGAAAACCATGAGCAAAGAACAACGCCCCTGAGGAAGGTAACGGCAGGTACAGGCAAGTCGGGGAAGACCGACTGTAGAAACGTAGTTCACTTTAAAGACAGTAACGGTTAAAACAGAACACACACCACATTTATGTAGTTTTCTGACAGAGTCTAGTGGTAACTGTATGTGCTGAATATTAATTGAAGTTATAATGACTGTCATTTCAGAGTGTTCAGTAAACAACAAAGGCATACAAGTGTCTCCCAGGGCAGAGCTGAGACCAGTATTTTGTTTATTTGGCTATAATGTGACCAATACTGGATGGATGGCATCCACCTAGCAATACTAACAGTAGCTGCTTCATTGGCAAAAACAAATTTAAACACCTTTTAAGTATTTTGTGGGTGAAGGTTTCCACAGCAAGCATGTGGGCCAGAGGGCAACTGTGGAGTTGGCTCTTTCCTTCTACCATGTGGGTCCTGGGGATCAGATTCAGGTCGTGGGGCCTAGCAGCAAGCCCCTTTCCCCACTGACCATCCTACTGCCCCCTTAACAGATTATTTTTTATATTTAATTATTTAATGTATGTGTATCCAATTAAATGTTATGAAACACTGAACATTTTTTAACATAAAGGGTTTCAGCATAACTTACTATAGCTGTGTCATATTAGGACACTTCTGATGGAGGCCGATGGAGAAGAGCCATTATGTGTGTGGGGGGATTTAAAACCTTGCCCTACGGTCCATCTGAGATTCTCCCCACATGGCCCACATTTTGGGTCACTTGAGTTTCCCTCATTTCTCCACACAATACCACAAATGTAATCACATCAGTGACTACCGCCCCTGGACCTCAAGCAACTTCAGAACAGGCTTCCTGTGGGACTGACCAGTCTCTAAAGACGGGCAAACCAAATCAGGGAGTTGAAATGGGCACATCAACAAAGACAGCTTTGGTGAGTGTCTTGTTTTGATTCAATTTTTTTTTTTTTTACTTCCAAGTTGGTTTGACCCAGCTTTCTAGCATGACCCAGACTTCCCCTTGTTGGGCATGGCTAGCAGGCAAAAATCATGAGAAGAGAGAGTCAGTGTTCTGCAGGTTACTGTGGGATAGATGTTTCTCAGTGTTTACTGAACTTGAAATACCATCTTAAGACAAACATATCTTGAATTAATGTGTTCTCATTTCTCCAAACCAAAACCCAAGCATTGGGAATAACATGCACCCTAAATCAGCATGACAAAGATCATGGGATTTACTGGACAGACGTGTGAAGGGCTGGCCAGAAGTGGCGAGGAGTAATCTGTAATGGGCACACATGTCATGATTCTTAAGAGTGTGTACTCATAAAGCACATTAGTGAGTCAAGTCTGCCCAGGGTAGGAGTATTTTTGCATCTATGGATTCCACAAGAGCTAGAGGTAAAGTGGACTGAAGACATACTTACACTAACTCGAGTGCAATGCCACCATTCCCTATAATCATGATTCTTTTAGCTTTAGTAAGACGTTTCTGAAATTCCTGTATTAGAAAGAAAACAGTGAGACAGCGTTTTGACAGAGTGGACAGTACGTGAAGCAAGAGGCCTCACTGATAATGTTCTAAACACGTAAACATTTTAGAGTGTTTATAAAGGGGCAGCAGACCTCCCCACGCCAGGATCCACCATCGGATTCACATCTTGGCATTTCTGTTTCACTCCACAGGGCCTTACAGTGGTGCCTCTCCCAAACTCCCTCGTGCTTAGGTCCTTGTGTCGGAACCTCAGAATCTCAGAAGAGGCTCTCTAGAGCACCACATCCCTAGATCTGTGTTGGAATCCATCATCTTCAGCAGGCCAGCCTCTCCATTAACGTGTTTCCCTAGACTCTCACCCCCTGCAACTCTCAGACATGAGCAGCAGGGCACATGGCTGAGGTGTGCTGACCTCCAGTCACTGGCCTTAGCAGTTCCTGACAGGATGACCTGGGGGAGCTACTTCGCCTGTCTACGCCCCACGGTGTCCACTGCAAAAGGAAGTAACTGTCTCCTAATGTTTATGCCAGGGTGATGCAATGATGGACACAAAGCTCCTGAACAGCAGGGACATAATAATGTCCAACATTAAGTGAAAAGATGTTATTTTAAGACCATGCATCCACCAACCCCCAGCCTAACAGGATGCAGATAAACCTGAGAGGCCTGTGGCTCCTTCTGCCACTCTCAAGAGGCACAGACACCCCTTGCCTCTGAGTGACATCTGGGTAAAGACTCAACTACTCAGAAACTGTCATCGCCAACTTGACTACTGCAGGGCTTACAGTGTTGACTAAAATCGACTTAAAATTCTTCAAGACAACACCTGAACTTAGTTTGCCTTTCATCGAGGATAGTACAATTTAAGACAGCTCTCTAAAGAGTGCTGGTCATAGAGATGAAAGACGCAAATTTAAACTGCTTCGGACATACTCAGTGGTGATCTTAGGAGAAGGAAATGCTCTCTTTCTGTCTTGTGACGTGGGATATCATCGAACTCCATCAGGATATCCCACATCAGAAGATGTGAGGAAGGGTCACCTTACTCTGGTGCTTTGCCACTGTTACATGTAGAGCAACAAAGCAAGCAAAAGCCATTCTCAGGCCTCACATCCACACACATCTTATGAATATTAATTTCTTTGCTGGAGAATAAGATCAATAAATTTTCCCCGTTTTACTTCTGGGAAAATGATTGCCACACTGTTTTAAGTGTCAAGTTACACATTTCTGGTGTGGCGTAATGATGTGTTACAATGTAACATGTAGCCTTGAGTACTGCTACTCCGTGTGCCATATCTCATAGGCCAAAAGAACTCAGGACGTCAGCTTTAACTAAAACCGTGAAAACTACTGACCAAACTAAAGCTGGCAATGAAAACCACACTGTGATTTCTGAATGATGAATCCAAACCTCCCTTATGTTATGACACTTCAGGAACTAATGGTCAGTAGAACGGTAATTCACAGGAGAAGCTCCATGTCCCTTCCCCAGACCCACCCTTAGAACATTACCTGGGCACTGTCTGTATCACGGATTCCTAACACATAGGGATTTCCTTCACTGATCAACTTTGGCTTAGCTCCAGCACACAGACAGAGTTTCTTATAAGCATGCTGACGTCCGTCTTCTGTGAAGATGCACTGTGAACACACGTAATCAGGCATATGGGAAGGAGTCAAGACAAACACAAACCTGATATACTAAAGGAGGCCTCCTGGTGGCACTCCATGCTCAGTTACAGCAACTGCAGAGTAGATTAAGTGGAGACTGCATTCTCTAGCCTAGAACTAATCTCTTCAGGTCATAAATCCTTTTGAGAACCTGGTGAAAACTAGTCTTTCTCTCCTAAAAAAAAGGTTTGCATTTAGCTTCTGGGACTCTCATGATTATATTATTCTCAAATTTAAAAAAAAGAATCTTGGGGGCTGGAGAGATAGGTCAGCAGTTAAGAACACTGGCTATTCTTGCAGAAGCACTGGGTTCAAATCCCAGCACCCACATGGCAACTAACAACTGTCCGTAACTCCAGTCCCAGGGGATCCAACAGCCTCTTCTGATCTCCGAGGGCATTACACGACAGGGGTGCACTTACCTACATGCAGGCAATACATGCATACACATGAAATAAAAACAGTAAATAAAATTTTAAAAAAAGAGAATCTTAAAGAATTTTAAAGATGGGGGCTGGCAAGATGGCTCAGTGGTTAAGAACACTTTCTGCTCTTCCAGAGGATGGGGTTCAGTTCCCAGCACCCATATGGCAGCTGACACCTGCCCTGATTGTAACTCCAGCTCCAGGGCATCCGATGCCCTATTCTGGTCTCTGAAGGCACACACATGGCACACTTAATACATGCAGGCAATACACTCATCCACATAAAGTCTTTAAAAAATATTCTATTATTTTTATTTTATATAGATGAGTGTTTTGCCCGCATGTTAAGTGCACCCATGTCAGGCAACGTCCATGGAGGTCAGAAGAGGGTGTCAGATCTCCTGGAACTGGAGTTTACAGATGGTTGTTAGCTGACATATGGGTGCTGGGTACTGAACCAGGGTCCTCTGCAAGAGCAGCCAGAGCTCTTAACCACTGAGCCATTTCTCCAGTCCCTAATAAAGGCTTTAAAAAAAAAAGAATTTTAAAGATGAGCATGCTGATCATATTTTCCCTGGGACAAGTCTCAACGAAGATTTTTCTGTCTTGACAAAGTTACTTGATGATCTAGTGATTCTAATTATATCTCAATATCTGCTATGGGTTCAGGGAGCACGGCAGAAGAGGCCAAACAGTTTCTTTCTTCTTCTTCTTTTTTTTTTTTTTAGTGGTTTTGAGACGGGGTCTCCCTGTAGTCCCCCAGCTAGCTTAGAATTCGATGTGTAGATCAGGCTGGCCTCAGTCTCACAGATATCCACCTGCCTCTGCCTCCAGAGTGTTGGGAATAAAGACATGTGCCACCATACCTGGGTTATGAGTTTTTTTTAATCAATGAATATTACACGTGTTTGAAATAGTATCTATGTCATCAAATGCAAGTAATAACTTTATAATTAACAATGCTTTTGAAAATTGTGTTTTAAAAGTTTTTTGTTTGCCTGTTTGTTGCTTTTGAGAGAGGACCCTCTGTAGCCCAGGCTAGCCCCAGATTTACTGTATAGCCCAGATGTGTTACTCTCTTTGTGACACCTTCCTAAATCTCAAATGTCAGAACTTTGATGATAATTTCACTGTGATTTGTGCAGGTAAACATAATTATACAGTGTTCATGTCTACACCTGCCCCGGTAGGGAGTACTTGGGAACAGGTACCCGTTTTATTCTGGTTGTAGACTGGTATCTAATGCTGGACCTGGGACACAGTGGGCACTGTGCAAACACTGATGGAGTCTGAAATGTGGAAACTGCAATGGCATACCAATCTAATTATACAACATCCCTAACATGTAGATTCGCTAATAATGGGGATCGGTGGGGACAGAGGTGTAGCTCGAAGGTCAAGGGCAAAAGCTCTCCAGGATTTAACACTAGAAAACGTCATTTAACGAAAAATGTCTCACGTGCTCTTCACTCTTCAGCTGCTTCACCCCAGATTCTATGACCCTGATGTTGGGAAGGCGATTCTCCAACATGGAACTTGGTTGTTCTTCAACATCAAATTCTTCCAGTACTTTAGAAACCTTTATTCGGTCAAAGAGATTTTAAGAGTATGTTTTAGGAAGATATTTAATTTCAAGAACATTAGCAAAATACTTCCATTTATTTTACACATTACTATTTCATGTTCATAAAGCTAGGAAGTTAGCCAACAGCACTGCTATGGTTTGGATCTTCTATGTCCCTCAAGCAAACTGTGTGGTGGTCCCTTTCGGAGGTGGAGCCTGACGCAGGGAAGCTAGGTCCCTTGAAGAGGGATGTGGAGCTCTGGTCCCTCCTCTCTCTCTGCTTCCCAGCCTATATGAGGAGCTTTGCTGCACTACACATTCCGGCCAGGATGCGCTACCTTGCCACAGGCCGAAAACCAGTGAGCCACCTCCTTTGAGGCTGTTCATTTCAGGCATTTTGTCATGGTGACAGCTGATGAGTACATGCATTACAGCAGAGAGAGGACTGGGCTCTGCACCTTAAGGCTTGAACTCATGTATCTGGTCTGTCACTCTTGAGCTTTGCTGTTTCTGGTCTGTAAAACTCACAGCTAATCCCACGTACTTTACTAGCGTTTAAACAGAGGAGCTCTTTTCTTATCCCTCCAGCTTCTCCACTCTTGTACCAGCTAACTTTTTGTCTTTGGTGCTTTAGGACCATCACCATCTTCTTGGATTCACGCTGACCTATGCAGCTGAGATTCATCTTCTGTCCAAATCCTTTACCTCTTTGTCTACCATCTCCTTAGCCATAAATAATCCTTAAAACCCCTAAAGAGAAACCAACATAGTTTGTGTGAAGACTCCTGTGTGTCAGTGTTTGACCTTGGCTGCTCTGCAAACAGTGCTTGGAAATTCTATCATATAACCCTACTAATATCTAAACCTTCTGTTTTCAAGAGCCCTTTATAGTCTTGAAACCTATGAGGGCCCGAAGACCTGTTGAGTGAATAACACAGAGCAATACTGGCCATATTAGAAATAAAAGCTAAGAAAATTTTAATAATTTCTTAATTCAGTTAAAAGTAACAATGTATCAAATATACATGGAACAGATATACTTTCAATGAAAACAGTTTTCATAGTTGTTAAACACAACAAATTAAGTTAAAGAAATGGTAGTATCTTACATCTTACCAATATCATTTATTATTATAAAGAGGTTCTTACCTGCTTGAAATTTGTAACTGCTTTAATAACAGGAGAGGCTGTTATCAGGAGAATATCTTCTGATGGAAAGGTAATAGCCAACTTGTTTTTAAAGAGAAAAGATAGGATAAATAACTAGGTATCACTTTAAAAAATGACAGCAACATGCTGATAGCACAATCTTATTAATGCTATTAACACAGTAAATTAAAAATCCAGTTTCTCAAATAAAAATCTGCTATTCTGAGTCTTGTTCATATTTGTACAGCACCAATAATATTATACTTTTCTTTTTTTTAGTTTTTTTGAGATAAGGTCTCTCGGTAGACCCAGCTGGCCTGGAACTTGCTATGTAGGCCAGGCTGGCATCCATCTTCCAGAGATCTGCCTGCCTCTGCCTCTCAAGTGCTGAGATTAAAGGTGTGTGTCACAAAGGGTCTATTAAACTCTTCTAATGATAGAAAGAATAATACATTTATGGTAAAGACTAACAAAAGCCTTCTGAACAAGAAAAATAACATGAAGTATCTTTTGCCTACTTATTTTGTATAGCAATTTAAAGTTATACAGCTGATAAAAAACTGTCTACTTCTATTTGTTAATTAATAAATTAAATAAATAATTAATTTGTTTTTATTTGGAGACAGGGTCTCCCCGTAGCCCCAGTTAGTCTGGAACCTGCTATCTAGAATATGCTAGCCTCATTCTCACAGAGACCCACCTACCTCTGCCTCCTGAGTGCTGGGATTAAAGACCTGTGCCACCACACCCAGCTCTGTTTATTTCTTTTCTTTTCTTTTTCTTTCCTTCCTTCCTTCCACAAAATTTTATGCTTCTTCCTCAAATATAACTCATTTAGTTTATTGATTTTTTTTGTGTGTATTTCATACAGAACATCCCAAACAATCTTGTGCATCTTTATACCTGCATTCCAAATGGCACCCTCTCCCCCACAGGATCCCATCTACTCTGTCATCCCTGTTACTGTCTACTGTATTGTCAGTGCCCCCAGCCATTCCCCAGTGCAAGCCCATCTGCTGAGTCTAGTCAGCCTACCTAGAGTCCCTTGTTTTAGGAAGATCAGCTCTTCCTCATCTAGCAGCAATCAGTTGCCAACATTCCTTTAGAGAAGACTGGGGTCTCCAGCTCTGTTTATTTTAAAGTAATGTTTTCATTTGTCTTAAGAATGGGGATAAAATTAAAGCAAGTCTAAAATATTAAACACTTGGAATCTCAGCATAACTTTCCCCCCAAAGCTTTGGTACTCCTGTTCTCCCTCTCTGATTAGTATATGGTGTGGGAAAACAAACCCGTTTTATTATTAGCTTAACAAAATTTAACGACTTAATGTGCTTTTATTGCTTCATTATTTTCCTCTAGTGATAACTGTTTCTTCCTCACTTTGAAATTGAAAGTATTTTCTTATTTGGAAGTCTCCTTCCTCATTCCACAACCTATATAATCTGGCTTCCATTCCCAAGGTACCATAAAACAGAGCGTGTTCCAGTCCCATGCACACCCTCTGGTCTCACCTTATCTGAACTTTCTATACTTGACAATATTATCTCAGTGTTTCCTTTGTACATCCCGTCATTGATCTCCAGATGAAGCTCTCAGAACTCCTTTATACTACTGAAAATCATCTTTGAGTGAGCCCCCAGACTCATACAAGTTGTTAACCATTTGCCATGACCCAAACACATGGTAGCTAATCATATTTCAAAAGCTTTCATTTGAACACTTTCCTCCACTGCTCAAAATCATTCATTTGTAAAATTTTGTTAAGTACTCAGCATGTCATAAAACCCTATATAATCTGAGCTTTGTCACCGTTCCCTGATTGTATCTCCAATCAGCTTTGCTGCTTACAAATCATACCATGCTTTTATTTTCTCCCTGCAGATTGTACATCAGAATGTAACCTCATCTTCAATTCACCCCGTAACAGGTAACTCCACTGACACTAAGCCAACACACTGATGACATGATTTATTTATTTAACGTCTTTTCCAGTATACTGAGTTCCCGGTAAGGCAGAAACAAGCTGTCTGTATTTCCACTAAGCCCCTAGGCATCGCCTGGAATATGGGCTTTTTATTTGTTGAATAAACAGAAATACACATTCAAATATTAAAAGTTAAAAAGCACTTTGATTTCTTTTAGTATTTTTTGTGACTTCCGTGGTTGGTTATATCAACAAAATATACAATCCTTTTTTGTACTATATACACATATAAGAATATATGTGATCCACCTATTTATCATAATCAGAAAAGTTTTCTGGGGGTTGGAGAGATGGCTCAGCAGTTAAAAGCACTGGCTGTTCTTGAAGAGGACCTGGGTTCCATTCCCAGCACCCACCAGCTAATCACCATCTGTAACTCCAGTTCCAAGGAATCTGAAGCCCTCTTCTGACTTTAGGGCATTGCATAACAGAGGTGCACTTAACATTCATGGAGGCAATACACTCATACATATAAAATAAAACAATAAAAATATTTAAAAAATAAGGGATCCTGTATGTGTATTCCTTTGCTGGTTGCATCACAGAACCTTACTAGAGGTGACTCTTGGGAGTTCAACGTAGGAGGTTTATGGAAGGTCACTTTCATAGTTAAGGCCTTGGCACTTATCTGGAAACTAAATGCCACGGACATGAGCAAAGAAATAGAAAAACTGGGCCTTTTCTGTCCAAATACCGAGCCCTCTCGCCTGTCACGGCACATTAGGTGTGGGGCCGGGCCTGACACAGCAGCGGCCTCCCGCTCCTCCCCGCGTCGGAATGCAGCGGGAAAGAGCACCACTGCACGGGGGCCAGCGCAGCATCCCAAACCCAGAGCCGCGAGGCGAGGGGCGTGGCCAAGGGCCCGGAAGAGCGCCCCGGGAAGGGGTCCCGCCTGCGGCCTCCGGCCCTCCGCCGTCGGGGTCCGAAGGGGCAGGGCCCGCGCCATACCTGCTCCGCGCACGTGACGCCCGCAATGCCGCCTCCCACCACCACGAACGAGGCCTCCATGGTCCCCGGCTCCCGGCGGCTGGCGGAACACAGCGGCGCAGCTGGGACGTTTCGCCTACCCGGAGAGGAAGCTGCCGCACGGCCACTTCCGGCGCTTGGCCGGGGAGGCTCCGACCTACAGGTGCCCGGAAAGCTCACGCTTAGTCGGCTCGCGTGTGTGTTGCGGGGTCGCGTAGAGAAGCTGGCCTTCGGTCCATCCCTTCAGTTTTTGCATTACTTCTGGAATCTGAGCTAGGGGACCTGCATGCCACCCACTACTCTGGTTTTGTACGTGAAGAAAGCGAAGCTTCTGGAAGCCACTTGATTGCCGCCCTTCACCTGGAAATGGGAGTTGTTTTAAATTTGTGGAAGCACATTCTTTATGACATTCAAGTTACTGTTGAAGTTAGCCTTTCAGTCCCAGTTTTGAGCTCAGTTAAAATGTCCAGTAAAATACAGGACAATATTCTTGCATCTCATCAGACAAACATTTCAAGTCTCCCAAGTATAGCACTTTGAGTGCTGAAAACAGGAGTCTCAGTCTTTAAGAAAATACGTTTTTATTTTATGCGTATGAGTGTTTTGCTACATGTATGCATGTAAGTGCACCAAATGCATGCTTGGTGCCCATGAAAGCCAGAAGATGTGGGATCCCCGTGGAACTGGAGTTACAGATGGTTGTTAGCCGCCATGTGGGTGCTGGGAACTGAACTCTGATCCTCTGGAAGAGCAGCCAGTGCTCTTAACCACTGGGCCATCTCTCAAGCCCTAGTATTCTTAATTTAACTGATATCATTTTTTGCTATTCATTTGCTTTGAGAAATGGCTGAATTTTTTTCCAGTTTTTACTCAACAGTATTTACAGTATTCATATAATATTTTTACTCCCGTATTTACAATATTCTAATTATTTTGCTATTACCTTTGTAGTCTCTTACATTCCCAGGGAGGAGTTATAATAACGTACTATTTCTCAAATGATTCATTCCCAACATTAATAGTTACTGATACCCCTTTAAATCTTCCAACTTGAATAACCATTCTGTATAAACAGGAAAACCTGCAGATCTAGTTATAGATATTTAAATTGAAATTAAATTCAATGGTAAGCAGTTCAGTAAGTGATTCTAGTTCGTGTTTCCAGATTAGACAAAGGTTTGTTTTGTCCACTGAACTCTAATCTCCAGTTTATTTTCACATGAGAGTATTTGTGCCATTCAGTTTTGAACTCTCCATATATGCCATTTCCTTTCTTTCTGAGCATTTGCACATGGACTTTCCTCAACTCCTTCCCCTAACTTCTTTGGTTTCACTAAGCCATGGCTCCTCATTAATAACTTTATCTGATATCCTCAAAACTGAGCTAGGAGTCATTGTTACTTATTCCAGTAACACCTTGTCATGTTCTGAATTTAGGCTCATCCCACATTCCTTATCCCAACTCCACCAACACCGTAAACAGACTGGTCATAGATGTTCATAAAGTGTGGTGAGTGAATTGAGAAGTGGGTGGAGCCCTGAAAGTCCTTTTGAAGGCGTTCAGTTCAGGTTTACCATCAAGAGTCAAGATCTTCATGTATATTGTGACAGCTATTTCCCTTTTATAGGGGTCAAAGTGACTAGAACTCAAGTTCAAGCAGAGATGGAGGGAGAGAGGCAGAAATGGGAGAAGTGAAGTCAAAGATTCTACTCTCAATGGAGAAGGGGGAAAATGTCAAATGCAAAGAGACTGGTGCCTGTTCTGTTTTCCTTCCCCCTTGACAGCCTTTGATGCGTAGCTAGCTGGTTCCCATTCTGGCCCAGACAGTTAACATTTAGAGATTAAAAAAAGAAAAAGAAAAAAGAAAGAAAGACATGAGGCCGACTGTGGCGACTTATACCTGTAATTCCAGTATCCGGAGGTGAGTAGGAGGGTCACAATAAATTCTAGACCAGCCTGGGCTACAAAGACCCAGTCTCAAAAGTGGGATGGGGGCAAGAAGGAGGAGAAGAGGAGGAAGAGAAGGGAAGGGATTGAGGGAGGGAGGGAGAGGGGAGGGACGGAGGGAGAGGGGAGAGATGGAGGGAAGGAGAGGGGAGGGAGGGAGAGAGGAGGGACGGAGGGAGGAGAGAGGGAGGGAGGAGGGAGGGAGGGAGGGAGGGAAGGAAGCTGCCTCACCAAAAATGAGAGAAGAAATGGGGAGAAAGGAGGAAGGAACAAGCAAATGGCTGGGGAGTTCAGGGTTCATCTGGGGCTGGTGAGATGCCTCAGTGGTTCAGAGCATTGGCAGCTCTTGCAGAGGACCTGGGTTTGGTTCCCAACACCCACATCATGGGTAACAACTGTCCATAACTCCAGTTCCAGAAAGTCCAACTCCCATTTCTGACCACCTCGAGACACTGGTGCATTTACGAAAATGCAGGCAATACACTCATACATACACAAATAAATTAAAAAAAAATTTTAATATCCCTTCAGTAGGGTGTGGTGGCATATGCCTTTAATCCCAGCACTCGGGAGGCAGAGGCAGGTGGATCTCTGTGAGTTCAAGGCCAGCCTGGTCTACATAGTGAGTTCCAGGACAGCTGGGGCTACAGGGAGACCCTGTCTCAAAAAGACCAAAAAAAAAAAAAAAATCATCCCTAACTTTAAAATATCAAATAGAAACTTTGCTTCCCATTCCCCTTCAAGCTGATTTCATAAATGTCTAGAACAAGAATATCTAATTTATTGATTTGGAACAATGAAGTTCTACAGAGTTGTTAATGGTCAACAGCTTTTGAGATGCTGATGCTGATGCTGAGGGTCAAATCAGATCCCAGCGTTCCTTTGCTGTCACTGAGTGAGTTACCCCATTTGGCCTTACTATCTACATTGGCAAAGTGGATGCATCGTCTTCCTTGAAGAATTACTGTGACGTGAATATGAGGTAATGTATTTAGACGTCTTTGCACAGTGCACCACCTGACAGCCTTAATAATTTGCCAGTCTGGGCACTGCTAAATCATTTCTGTCTGTCTGAAGGGTTTTCCTGGCATCTAGACTTAGTGGGCTTAGAATGCTTTTAACTCCTAAACTCGGTCTTTCATCCCTTGTCCTCAGAATCTTCAATTCTGAAATTTCTCAAGAGTCCTGGCTGTCATCTGGTGTTCACCCCAGTCTTCTCAAGTTCACCAAGAATTTAAACTGCTTCCATTTTCGTTTCCAAATGTCTTTGTTTTTGATGATGTGAACTGCTTATTGAACAACTGGACTTTATAGGAAACAAGTGAAAGAAAATGTTTATTTCTCATTACTATCTTGGGAACATGCGTTTCTCATCAACACTAAATCCTGGTTAGGCTTTAAAGCTTTTCTAATCATTTATAGGTAATAAATCAAATCCAGTGCTATTTGTGATCAAAACCCCTGACTTGGATGCAATTAAAGCATCTTATATGAAGCTTTAGTTACATCTACAGACACCATGGTTTGTCTCTTCTTACCTTCTCTTCTGATGAAGAGCTGCTGTTTTCAATCATTTTTAAATTGGAGAGTGTTAGAATTCGGATGGAAAGACGATGTGATAAAGAAGAAATGGACCTCAACAGATACAGATAGCTTTATTTAGCTGTGAAGGGCAGGCAGGCTTTCTGGGGGAATGAAGGCTGTGGCACTGGTGTCAGGAGAGATCTTAAATTTACAGGAACCTAGCACAGGTCCTCAGGGGCTTTGTGCTTCTTCCCGGATTCTGGAAAGGGGGATGCGGAGTTCTGACAGAAGAAGCAGATGCCGTTCTCAGGGAACTTTGTCTTCTGCAGGGGTCTAATAAGGAAGCAGAGTCCGGGCTGGGGGCTGCTGGGCTGGGGACTCCATGTCCTGAAATAGAAGTAACTTCCTGCCAGTTAGGAGGCAGGATGGGCAGGTGGTCAGTTTCTCAATCATTTGTTAAGCTGTTTTCCTTCAAAGAGTGAGAGCTAAGGGGAGGAGAAATCATATTTACTGTGAAATCGCTGGTGTGGTTCAATGTTCCATGAATGAGAACTGATTATCAAAATTTCTGGAATTTTGAGGACTGATTGTTAACCCAGGTTTTGTTAAACATTAAGCTATGTAAACGTAAGTTATATTAAAACAAAAGCAATAAATAACCCAAACTCCTATCACCTACTCATTTTACCATTATCTTTACTCTTGAGATTACTTACATCTGCCATGTCTTGGGTGAAACTTCTGCACAAAGATGTGCTTAGTCCTGTCCTCCACAGTGCCTCATTCAGCAGTGACTTATTGGTAATTTGAAAGAGGCTATGAGCCTTTATGCTGTGGTCAGTGACCAGTGACACAAACCAGGCTTTGATTTATTTGTTGCTGATTTCCTAGACTTAAAAAGGTGACAGAGACAGTGTTCTGTCTATTGTATTATATTGTGACTAGCTAAAATGAAATGAGGAAATAATCCTTCCAGTGTAAGAAAACAGACATTCAGTTTAGCAAAGAGGTCACAGACACTCGGCATAGACTCCCACTTACACGTCCTTCGTTTCACTTCTCTCTTACTGGTCAACATACATAAGAATATTAAGGTATATTTAAACATTCATTCACTAATTTCTATTTTATTTTACCTCGAACACAAGAATAGACCAAACAGGAGGCTGGAGAGATGGCTCAGCAGTTAAGAGCACTGGCTGCTCTGGCAGAGGACCCGGGTTCAATTCTTAGCACCCACATGGTGGCTAACAGCCATTTGTAACTCCAGTTCTAGAGGATCTGATGCCTTCTTCTAACCTCTATGGGCATTGCACAACACAGGTGAATTTACATACATGCAATACACTGATACACATAAAATTAAAAAAAATAGACCAAAAAAAATCAATGGTGGGATATGTAAGAATAAACTTACCATATGGAATTTACAGTAAAACAACAAAAGTATTATCTGTAAAATGCTTGTTATGTTGACATCAGTAGTGTTTATAATAAACTTATGTACACATAATTTCTTTAAAAGATTTAATTTTGTATTTTTAAGAAATTTGTGTGTACATGCGTGTCTGTATGGGGGTATGTATGTGCATGTGTGTGCTGCTGCTAGAGCTGCCCCCCGCCCCCGGAGCTGAAGTTAATAGCTGTGTGAGCTGCCTGAAGGGTTCTGGGAACTGATGAGCCATGGCTCCACACCCACATATATATTCTTGCATGCCTTTGCATATTAAAATTTATAAACATAAAATTACTATTAAATATTTATTATTACAGATTTTCTAGATTTTCTTCTTTCCC